GTAGGCTTTCAACAGTTCTCGGGATATGTCACAGTGGATGACAAGAAACACAAGTCTCTGTTTTACTATTTTGTTGAGTCAGAAACTGATCCAACTTCAAAGCCTCTTGTTCTATGGCTCCATGGAGGTCTGCAATCTGTAGCTTCAAAACTTGATATAAGTTTTTTTTCAAGACATTGGATTAAATAAGAATAGCTAGCAGAAGCAGTATTCGCATCTTAGATTATTGAATTTGACTAATATTTCATTATTCAGGACTTGGTTGTTCTTCTGTAGAAGTGGGAGCATTCTCAAAAAATGGACCCTTCAGACCAAATGGAGAATTTTTGATTAAAAATGATTTGGAACAAAGGTACTCTTTTGCCACATTCAATTATATATATCTGCTAGAATGGACTGCATTTCATTCTTCCACCGATTGGTATACTTTTGTGCTGCATAGGCAAACATGTTGTATTTGGAGACACCAGTTGAAGTGGGGTTCTCTTATGTTAAGGGTAGCTCCTCATATATGACAGTGAGTCACGAGGCAACAGGTATTCTACATTAATATTAGACCCGTTTTTAATCTTTTGGGACAAAAAACTTTCTCTTTGGAAAGCTTCTTTAAATTCTATCTTCTATGGGAAAAGGCACGTATCATTTGTTTTTCTGCTTAGGCTTTTAAAAATGGTGAGAAGTTATATGATAGTGACGTTATATGATATATAGTAGGACAATTATGTGTAATAATAGAGAAGTTATATAATAATTATCTAATTGTATGTGCAGGCTATGATGGTGTGTTTTTCTGTTTTGTAAGGCTGATACTTGTTTTCTCAAAGTTGGGCCTTGGCTTAAGACTAGTAACGAATTTTGTCTTCCAGATTAGTGTGTTTATGTACTCTGCAATATGATAAGGTTTCTATTCAATACTGTCAATTCTTGATTGAATTTCTCATTTTCATGTGGGATGAGTATACAAAATTTGGGATCGCAACTCTGGTCAAACATCAGTTGATTTTTACCATCGATACAAGGTACCCTTAAATAACACCAAATGAAATCCTCTAAGAAAATAATTGATATCAGTATATTATTACATTAAAGAGGATGAAACTGACGAGAATTTTGTAGAGTGACTTAAAATAGTGAAAGAAATTGGGTTGGATTCCTTTAGATTTTTTATCTCATGGAGCCGCATATTCCCAAGTAAGATATATATATTCCTTATTTGAAAGTTACATTGAGTTATTTTCACAATGTTGAGTTATTTTCTGCAGAGGGAAAAGGAGTTGTTAATCCTTTGGGGTTTAAATTTTACAACGATCTCATCAATGAAATCATAACAAATGGTAAATCCATCAAATTCTTCAATTTTTGTTCTCTTTTGTCTTTCTATTTTTGTGTAGAAATCTTACTTTGACTAATATGTAGGTGAAAGAGTGAGTTAGATACCTCTTCCTTGCTAACTTGGTATTTTTATTTGGGCAGGCTTAAAACCCTTTGTGACCCTCTTTCAATGGGACTTGCCGCAAGGGTTAAAATGAAGGTTAAACTAAAGCAGTGTGGCAGATTTGTATTCATATAAATTACCTGATATTGTGTACTACTCTCTATGTAAACTAAGTATAATTTTGACTTAATTTTTGGTTAGGAAGTATAAACACTAATTATTATGGTTTACTATTAAACATTTGAGTTGAAGTTGAATCCATCTGAGGTGTTATTTGACTTAGGAGTTACTTGCATGAAGATTACCAATAGTAATACATGAAGATTACCAATGATTATAGTAAAGATAACGAATGTCTCAATAAAAAAGTAAAACGTTGAAAAAACATTAGATGTAATAATTGAACTCTATTTAAAAGTTAATTATGGCACAAAACATGTTTCAAATCCATCAAATGATTCCCCTGGTCCCATTCCGCTAAGCGGATTCGGATTCTGTCATATTCTTTAATCAGGTTTGTTATTATTTTAAAAATAATATAAAAATTAAAATAAAATTAGTGAACAAAATAGTGATTGATTTTGTCATATATGATGTTACAAAATCGGTCACTAATTTAGTTATAATATTGGTTACTGATTTGGTCACATAATCGATCATCGATTCGGTCACTAAATTGGTCATTGATTTGATTACCGATTCGGTCACAGAATTGGTTACTAATTCAGTCACCGATTCAATTACTGATTCGATTACGAATTGGTCATTGATTCGATTACATAATCGATTATCGAAATCGAGACCAAGGAAAGTGTGACCGATTTGAGTTGATTACTATTTTAGTTAGTGATCGATTTTGGTGATGTAGTGATCGAATTTTTGATCACTATTTATTGTTTTTCTTGTAGTCATTGCATATCTTAGGAACCGATCAATTTTTCCAACCAAAGATAAAAAAGAAGAGGACTGCTTAATTAGTAAATATATCAATATATTTTTTAATATTATTTTCCGATAAGATTATGTTTTACTTTTATTATTTATACTTTCCCTAAACATAATAATAAATTTGTCTCCTAATTTTATTATAAAATTATATAGTTTATGTGTGAATATAAGAGAAAGTTATACAATTATGTATCATTAAAAAAAATCCATGTGTATTTATTAGTAAATGTTCACTAAAAAATTTTAACAATTTTAAAAAATGACAATTTTCTTTTAAAAAAGTTTAACAAATTTATAATAATAAAAATCATAAAAATTGATTCAAATTAAGTTACAAAATCTTAATTTTATTTTATTCAAATTTTATATCAAATTAAAACTAAATCAAAATAAATTGTATTTTTATATTTATTTAAAAAAAATAAGTTATAAAATATTAATTTTATTTGACTCAAATCTTATATAAAAGCAAAACTAAATCAAAATGAATTGTATTATTTTTTACATTTAGTTCAAGTAATTATTTAAAAAACAAATCAAATTTCGACAAACATTAACAACACCAAAAACAGTATTAGAAAAATATTTCAGAATGTAAAATTACTACCTTGCAAAGTTATCTGTTGTGATGAGTCAATAAAAATATTACACACAAGACAACAAACTGATTAACAATGGTGTAAGAATATATATATATATATATATATATATATATATATATATAGTTTATGATGAGTAAAAGGAGACAATCCCTGCGCATAATTTGGTTGCATGTTATCAGAACTTGCTCCATTGTGGACCAACTCATAGCTTCTGCATATTTCTTGTGGTTGACATGAAAATTTGTCCAAAACTGAGTCACGAAAGAGTGGCTAAAACTTGGCACATCCAGGGCAAGTTTTCAGCTTCAGTCAGCTAAATATGTTGCGTCCATATCTTGAAGCATGACCTGATGCAGCCTTAGCCTTAACTGAATTGAAATCCATCAAATCGAATACATACATCTTAATTTATCAATTACGACTAATACTATGTTTGGGATCTCTATCAGATAATTGCAATACCCTTCTATTATTGAAGACTTGAACAACATTCAGAATTGAAATGAAGGATATAATTATGATACTTATTACCCTGCTTTCATTTTACATAGATCAGTCATGATATAATGCCAACTTCTTTGGGCTTCCCCATGAACATTCCACCAGAAGGGTATTGGTCACAATAAAACAACAATTAGTGATGAAGCATTGTATGTTATAGTATGAAATATACTCATAAATTCTCATTCTACCCGCTATACATGGACTTGTGAGAAAATAATTTTTATATTAATTATCCATAGAGGAACCTATCCAAGAGTACAATGCAACGCTGGAAGAAAGAGTGTTTACAATTTAGAATTAATACATACCAATGGCAACAACAATATATATGTTAAATCTACTTGTATGATAATAGTAACTTATAGAACCAAAATTGTTTATATTGAAGCAGTCAAGCATTATATACGCAAGTTATAACATATTTATAGAAGTTAATTTCTATAAATAGGGAGCTGCAAAATTTACAACAATTGTAATTACAAGAATATGATTAATCAGTAGAGGACTAAAACACAGCAAACGGCGTCCAGTGATCTCCGGAAGACCTCTCAAACTCTAGCTGAATTACATATTTTCTACAACCAGGAGCAGTTCTTACTAGAGCCCTTGTTCCCTCGCATTTTCCTCTGGCTCAGGTGTCCTTCATTTGTCTTTTATCTTTTCTGCTTTATTGTTATTTTTTTTATATTTGATTGTATGCGTGCGTCACATTACATATTGTGTCCTGTAAAGATGAACCACTTCACTACTGTTACCCAGAAAGTCTAAGCTTATTACATTAATCTCTCTTTTTCATTCTGCTCATTTTATATGCACCTAATTGATAAGTCTGTTAACTAATGCATATGATCTTATAGAAAAATTTCCATTTACTTAGGTTGTAGTAGTTTTATGGGTCTGAACAGAAAACCCTAACTCTTCTAAAAAAAACCTCACCTCTTAATACTAATTTGTTATCAAATAATTTCGAAAAATTAAATTTTATTAATAATAGTATATTTTGATATCAAATAATTTGGAAAAATTGAATTTTATTAATAATAGTATATTTATATATTGTCACAATATCTTAATCTTATCTTTCCACAATCAAATAATAACCACCCACATCAAATAATAACCATTCACCATGATGAATATTAAAATTTCCAACAAATTCATAATTATCTTTTTTTTATTTAATTTGATTCCAATAAAATTTTAATGTAATTATCTTCTTATTACCATTTTAATTTAATTTACCCAACACTTTTTAATTTAATTTTACCTGACTCAGAATTAGTATAACTCAGTAGTCTGCATATATATATATATATAATATCACAGAGGAGAGGATCGCAGACTTGGAAAACATTCTTTTTGAGACAGCTGGAAGGACTAGTTCGCCGGTGACAAAGCGTTGGTTTGAATAAATAGAATGATGACATTCTGTTTATAGTTTTCCGTTGAACTCACACACTCTCAGTTATAGTTTCTTCAAAGAAAAGAAAGCAAGAAGTGGAAAGTGGAAAATGTCTCTGCAACCTGGTTCGAGTTCTGGTTCTCCTTTGGAGGGGGCGGGGAGGAAAAGCAATAAGATTGGGCGTGTGACAGAAGAGAGTCGGAAAATGAGGGAAGAAAACATGATTCGCATGAGAAAAACAGAACCCCAAAATATTCTTCTCCGTAAACGAAGTGTGACACAATCTTTCCATACGGTACCTATCTTTTCAATCACAAGATCTTTTATTTAGTTAGTTCCTCTACAACAATTTAGTTAACATTTCTGGGTTGAATCATCAGTTGATGGAAGCTCTTCCTGAGATAATTGAACGTGTATGTGCTGAGTACCCTGACCATCGATTGGAGGTCAATGAACACTTTAGAAGGTTAACAGTTGGTGGTATATATCAATTCATATTTCATTGTCAAATACTAATTTTACCATCCTTCATTAATTGGGTGTGTCTTCTTTCAGAAGAAGTACCAGTTGATGAGGTCCTTAAGAAAGGTATTCTCCCTCACTTGGTGGGGTTCTTGTCAAGGGACGATGCACCCCAATTGCAGGTATGGTATGCATTTCTTTTCATTTTTGTTCAGTTTTTGACCTCACTCGCACACACAACTAGTTATTATTGCATGGGTTGTGCACACACAACTAGTTATTATTGCATGGGTTGTGCAGAGAGAAGCTCTATGGATAGTATCCAACTTTAACTTTGCTTCCGGAACATCCCAACAAATAACAGCTATCGTTGAACTTGGTGTTGTTCCTCCCTTGGTCAATCTTCTCTCTAGTACCGATGAGGATACCAGAGAAGAGGTCGTCTTCTGTTTGCTTTTAAATACTCTCTTCAATTTCCTGTGTAAATGTCTCACTTTTATCCCTTTTCCCAGTTATTTTAACCCCTCTTTTTTACAAATTCAAAATTCTAGTTTTATTTTCTTCATGTACGAAGCGCTTTCCCCAAATAACCGATTTCCTAAGTATTTTCTTCTTACTAGCTTTCTCTTGATGATTATTTTGTACCCCCAGCCATTAAAGGAAAAAAATAAAATAAAATTACATGATCGAGTTTGGTTTCCCATGTCTTGAACAGGCAGTATACACTTTAGGGAACATTGTTCGTGATTCCGCAAACAATAGGGATCTTGTTCTTAACCATGGTGCTCTCATGCCAATATTAGGTCATTTGCAACCACAATCAAAATTGTCTATGTTGAGACTTGCTTCGTGGTGTTTATCTCTTTTGCTCCGTGGAGAGCCTCCAGTTAGTCTTGAACAGGTTGGGGACATTTCATAAAATCTCATTTCTGAGACTTATTTGAATCCATGCTTGCATTCACACAGTCAATAATATGATTAGCGTAATCTTCATTCAATGGTTACACATGTAGTGATTATATGAATGCCAGCTGTGAGCATGCAAAATTTACTACCCCTTCTTAGAGTGAGATTATTATGTTACTGAGAAATGGAGTTGATGGTTGTCAGATAAAGCCTGCCTTACCTGTTCTTCAGCGACTCGTCCACATGACCGATGAAGAAATTTTAACAGATACATGCTGGGCTCTCGCTTACTTTTCAGTAGGTGAAACCGAGAGAAGTCAAGCTATTCTTGATCTTGGAATTTGCCCTAGACTTTTGGAGCTTCTTCAGTATGTTACCTTGTTTTTTATTTAAATATTAAAAATAAGAATCTTTTAAGATATTTGATAAAAGATCATGCTTGAATACTAAAAGCTTTTAATTTTCTGAAAAAAAAAAAAATCCTGTGTCACTTCATGTTCCTGTGTACCATTTTTCTCTTAATTTGAGATGATTTAAATTTCCTTTCATCAGGCATCCATCAGATACGATTACTCTAACCGTGCTTCTGTTTTTTGGAAATATCGTCACTTACAATAATGGTCCCCAAACACGGGTAAGAACAATTTACAATAACATCTTCATTATAATTGTTTGTAAAATTTCTTTAAGACTTTTTAAAAATAAAATATATTATTTTGTATAGATCTCATAATTAAAATTGTTTAAAATAAATTAAAGTCGTTTATATTTATAATCATGATAGATTTTAAATGATTTTTCTTGTGTGTTCTAAATAAATAAACTTTATATTCAACCTAATTCAATTGCTACTGAGTCGTTTTTTTCAGTTTTTGATTGATATCCAATTGCTCCGGCGTCTTCGACGAGTTCTTATGCGTGAATATAACAAAAGCATCTTTAGAGAAGCTTGTTGGACAATCTCAAATATCGCATCTGGGCATAGAGATCAATTTCAGGTAAAGAAAGGTTAATGGATCTCTTAGTCAATGTATCTTGCATTGCATAGCATTGTGCAAAGGGAGTTTGAATTTTGAACTGCCATTTATCAGTGGAGTCCTGGAACGACCTCTGTTTTTTTTTTGTTATTGATATTGTTTTGTTATCATTTGCCTCATATCACAAGTCATCATGAGAATTTATGAAAATCTTTGTTTACATAAAAATAGTGAAAGCTTTTGAAAAATTGTTGTAATTATTTATGCAGGTTGTGATTGATGCCAATATTATTGATTCTGTTGTTAAAGTTGTTCATAATGCTGGGTTTGAGGTCAAGATAGAGGCTGCCTGGGTGATCTGCAATATCACTTTTGGAGGATATACTGACCACATCAGGTGTGTTTACCTTTTACTTTCTTTAACAGTAAGTTGTGATGAAACTTAGGTTTATGATGATAAAAATTATTATAGGTACCTTGCGGCTCATGGTTGCATTGAAGCACTGTGTGAACTCTTGACCTATTCAGACCTAGCGATTGTGAGGGTTTGTCTCTTGGCGCTGGACAGCATTTTGGGAGTTGGAGAAAGTGACAGGAATGATAGAGGCAATAGTTTTGCTAAAAGGGTTGAGCAATGTGGAGGATTAGATAATATTGAAATGTTGCAGACTCACGACAACAACGAGATTAGTAAGACAGCTACGTTGATTTTGGTTTCATATTTTGCTGAGGCTGAGATGGACGAATGATGAATTTTTCTGTTTCCTGTTTTTTGTGCCTTGTATATGAGGTAAAGTTACACGGCATATCAGTCATAGCACTTAGTTTTACTTGTTTCTCTAACACTGCAAAGAAAGAAGAGAAAAGTTGTATATTTCTCTGTAGACATTCGGTCACAATTTTGAAGCATGAATTGACATGAAATCTTTGCTTTTAGAGACCAAAAATTTTCAATTGATTCAGTTGAAAAGATATTGAATATAATGAGGCAGTGATGGTCTAGTGTAAACAAAGGAGTGAGAAGAGAATTAGACGAAGCCCAATAATAGGCCGAAGAAGAGAAGGTGAGAATGAACGAGAGAGGTTGCTATGTCCGGATCCAACAGCGAGTTACTACAGTTTTACAATTTAATGAAAGTAATGATTAAATTTATAAAGGTAAATATATTTACGTGAACGTGTAGTCCTTTCTTAGTGAGAAAGAAAAAGAGCAAAAAAATAAAACTTGTTTGGTGTCGGTGTGCGAGTGATGGAGTTGATGAGGTTGCGTCAATGAAATGAAACTTAAACCGGTCACCTTCCCAACTACATTTTTTAACCATCATCCGTCTCAACCTCAACCTCAAAGCCTTTATTACGCCATCAATATCCAACAACATCCAACGATTACATTAAATATCAAATTTAACAATCCAATACTTTTTCACTAATCACATATTTCAGTTAGTACTTAGGACCAATCACGATTCTATCTACTTTATAATTAAAAAAAAAAAACCATGTAATCTTAGATAAAGAGAGAAAAGATAAGAAGGAAAGAAGCGTTCAAGAAAAGTAGAATATGGTTTAGCCATCTACCGAGTCAACGATACCCTTACCGTTTATCTATATTTGTGTTATTATATTTTATCTACATGAATTCAAAACTTTTTTTTTTTTTGTAGTTTTGCTTTTCTTTGTCGTAATTATTACTATTTTCTATAAGTTTCTAATTTGAAAAAAAAAAAAGAATAAAAGGTTTCGACTTTAACCAATAAATAATTCAATCAAGTCAACTAATAAGTTAGTATCAAATTTGCCCATGATTAAATAAACTATAATCTTTTTCATTTGTTTTAATTATTCCTTATAATAATACCTTGTATCTCTCACACCACGCATACTCTCGAAATTATCATTATTAAGAAAATAAAGACAATTTTTTATTGAAATTTAGTTTATTTGTTCTTATATTTATTTTATTGGTTAATAATATTTTTAACTTTTGTTTCAATGGAAATGAATTGACCTTTTATTGTAAAATGAAAAAACTAAGGAAATATTATATTTTCTTTTTTCTCTGCATTTCGTTTAATAAGTTACTCTTCAAAACTCTGAAAATTTCATTGAAACCCTCCATTATTATTGCAAATCGTTCTTATTCAGTCGTCTTTGCTTTATTTCTCATTTTAGACACTTGACAATTACTATAAAGCTATTATAATTAGTCAAATGTTACGTCTATCTCTATATATTATTATTAACCCTCTTTATCATGAATTCATATTCTTATTAACGCAATAAAGCATCCTCTAAATTAGTCAAAGTTGGAAAAAAAAAAAAGAAGAAGATAAAAATAGAGAGAGAAATGTTAGCATAAAAAAACTCATAAGATTAAAATGAATAAAGTTTTACAAATTAAAACATACTAACAAAAAAGAAAAGAAAATAATTAAACTGAATAAAAAAGGTTAAGACAAAAACACATATGAATTTATATGATTCAAACTGATAATAATATTTAATAATTTATAAGATTAGCCTTTTATTTGTTAATTGCCGAAAAAAATACCAAATAAAAAGTTAGATTAAATAAGTAAAATAACAATTTAGCCGAAAAGTTAAGTAGATTTATACTTCTCTCTCATTTTATGATTACATCTATAATTCAATATAACATGTATTTTAATTACATTGTTATAAAAAAAAAACACTTTTAAGTAATATTGAGATTAAGGTTCTCATATTTTCCTTAAACAACTCATTGAATTAAATAATACAAGAATTTAATAATCTAAAATTTTAATTTTGTATTTATCTTTGCATAAAAAAGTATAACGTACTTTTTATGTTTTACATTTTTTCTAAAGATTCATAATCCTCTTATAAATATTTATTTATTTGTAAAGAGTGTATTAAAAATAATGGTTATGATTTGGACAGAGGAAACGAGAGAAAACATTAAATGAGGTATTAAAGTAAGGAAAGGGGCAAGAGTGAAATTTGGGGGAGATGAAGGGTTAATTTGCAAGGTAGGGTGTTATAAATGAGAGAGGAGAAAAAGAACTAAAGAACAACACTAGCTGATAGCAGAAGATAACCCGAGAGAGCTTAAAGCAACAATAATCATCACCATGTCTCTGGTAGCAGAAAATATCAAGAGCAGATCAGAGGTGTACCACGGGGACGAAATCTGCCAAGTGAAGTCCAAAGAGCTTCTAAAGGAAATCGCCCTCCCAAACGGTCTCTTACCGCTCAAAGACATCGAGGAGTGCGGCTACGACAGAGAAACCGGCTTCGTCTGGCTCAAACAAAAGAAGAGCTACACTCACAAGTTCGACAAAATCGGTAAACTTGTGTCGTACGCGCCTGAGGTCACCGCCCATGTCGAAAAAGGAAAGATCTCGAAGCTGACAGGTGTGAAGACGAAGGAGCTCTTGCTCTGGATCACGCTCAGTGACATCTACGTCGATGATCCTCCCACCGGCAAAATCACCTTCAAAACCCCCGCAGGGTTGTTCAGGTCTTTTCCTGTCTCCGCCTTCGAGATTGAGGAAGACGCTAAGGAGAGTAAGCGCGTGGCGGACTCCGGCGCGCCGCTGCAAGTCAGAGAGGTCTGATGTCCTCCTGCAGATTACATTATCGTCTATCTATTTATGTAATCTCTTTTAATTATTATTATCAAGTCATGATTCATAGTATAAAACTCCCCATTAACCTTTCTTATGTGTTTCATATATGAATGTTTGTTTATCCAAATATTGGGGTTATTTTTTTATTTGATTATTTGAATTTTCATTTTATGTGTTTTGACAGCTAATATATTTAGCTTATAGTTCACGCGCTGGTATATGCACATGCAGTTACTTTCGTCTATCTTGCAATAACTTGAAAAAAAGAGCCGTGTGGGGTCTGTTTGAGTATCTTATTTCCTCAATATCTTGCGTTCGAATCAAAAGTTGAAGGATAAGATGAATTAATACATCATGAGTTTAGGTTCTATTGAAGGAACATGAACGAATTTTAATTAAGAAAAAAAAAATTCAATATTTTAGAGTACTGAATTCTATCTACAGCTCCCATTTTGGTCTTGAAAAAAAAAAAAAAAAGAAGAATAAAATATGATGGATAATTTCTGAGGTGATAAATAGGAGTCACGTAAAGAACGTGAGCACCATTCCTGAACTATGAAAAACTGAAAGGTTGGGGCCAACTGTACATTACGGTAGAAGGCAAAGAATACGACACTTAAACATCCACCTACCTTTAAATTATTAACTAATCTTTTGAAGCATTATAATTTATAGCTGATTTATCATGACAGGTGAGTTTTATATATTTAAAACTGTATTTTTTTATATAAAATCACATTAATTTTGGTGGCAATACCAAGCTCTTCATGAAAAAATAGAACTAAGACAATAACATGTTAAAACCAAACTTTACACGTGATAGAAAAATAATAATGGCCACTTATATAGTAATATTCTGATTCCAGTGATGTTTCGTATAAATTTCCACCGCCACCCCTCGTCTATTTTAATCAATTATCTCGTAATTTTCAGGGAAAAAACAATTTAATGTGAACAGGTACTTGGAATAGTTAGGTTCATTTTAAGGTACCCTGCTTAACATTAACACGTTTTATGTCAACATTTAATTTCATTGCATATCTTAGGGAACGGATCAATTTTTCCAACCAAAGATAAAAAAGAAGAGGACTGCTTAATTAATAAATATATCAATATATTCTTTTAATATTATTTTATGATAAGATTATGTTTTACTTTTATTATTTATACTTTCCCTAACAATAATAATAAATTTGTCTCCTAATTTTAAATTATAAAATTATATAGTTTATGTGTGAATATAAGAGAAAGTTAGAATTATGTATCATTAAAAAAAATCCATGTGTATTTATTAATAAATCTTCACTAAAAAATTGTAACAATTTTAAAAAATGACAATTTTCTTTTAAAAAAGTTTAACAATTTTATAATAATAAAAAATCATAAAAATTGATTCAAATTAAGTTGCAAAATCTTAATTTTATTTTATTCAAATTTTATATCAAATTAAAACTAAATCAAAATAAATTGTATTTTTATATTTAATTAAAAAAATAAGTTATAAAATATTAATTTTATTTGACTCAAATCTTATATAAAAGCAAAACGAAATCAAAATGAATTGTATTATTTTTTATATTTAGTTCAAGTAATTATTTTAAAAACAAATCAAATTTCGACAGACATTAACAACACCATAAACAGTATTAGAAAAATATTTCATCCGGATGTTATTAGGCAGAATGTAAAATTACTACCTTGCCAAAGTTATCTGTTGTGATGATTCAATAAAAATATTACATACAAGACAATAAAAATATTTCAGCTTCAGTCAGCTAAATATGTTGCGTCCATATCTTGAAGCATGAGCTGATGTAGCCTCAGCCTTAACTGAATTGAAATCCCATCAAATCGAATACATACATCTTAATTTATCAATTACGACTAATACTATGTTTGGGATCTCTATCAGATAATTGCAATACCCATCTATTATTGAAGACTTGAACAAAATTCAGAATTGAAATGAAGGATATAATTATGATACTTATTACCCTGCTTTCATTTTACATAGATCAGTCATGATATAATGCCAACTTCTTTGGGCTTCCATGAACATTCCACCAGAAGGCTATTGGTCACAATAAAACAACAATTAGTGATGAAGCATTGCATGTTATAGTATGAAATATACTCATAAATTGTCATTCTACCCGCTATACATGGACTTGTGAGAAAATAATTTTTATATTAATTATCCATAGAGGAACCTGTCCAAGAGTACAATGCAACGCTGGAAGAAAGAGTGTTTACAATTTAGAATCAATACATACCAATGGCAACAACAATATATGTTAATAATAGTAACTTATAGAACCAAAATTGTTTATATTGAAGCAGTCAAGCATTATATACGCAAGTTATATGATATTTATAGAAGTTAATTTCTATAAATAGGGAGTTGCAAAATTTACAACGATTGTAATTACAAGAATATGATTAATCAGTAGAGGACTAAAACACAGCAAACGGCGTCCAGTGATCTCCGGAGGACCTCTCAAACTCTAGCTGAATTACATATTTTCTACAACCAGGAGCAGTTCTTACTAGAGCCCTTCATTTTCCTCTGACTCAGGTGACGTTAATTTGTCTTTTATTTATTATTATTTTTTTTATATTTGATTGTATGCATGCGTCACATTACACATTGTGACCTATAAAGATGAACCAGTTCAGTACTATTATCCAGAAAGTCTAAGATTGTTACACTAATCTCCCTTTTTCATTCTGTTTATTTTATATGCGCATACTTGATAAGTCTGTTAACTAATGCATATGATCTTATAGAAAAATTTCCATTTACGTAGGTTGTAGTGGCTTTTTGGGTCTGACTCACTTGGAGAATTAGTATAACTCAATACTGCATATATATCACATAAGAGAGGATGGCAGACTTGGAAAACATGCTTCTTGAGGCAGCTGGAAGGACTAGTTCGCCAGTGAGAAAGCGGCACAAGCCTCGGAACTCGAAATCCAAACGTGAGGGTGGTGCGGCATTCTCTGATGGTGGAAGTAATTCTAGAGAGGAAGACTCTGATGAGGGTGCAAACAAGAAATCACAGAGATATGCATCCCATGTTCCACTGAAGAAGAGATTGGACATGAGCAGAAGAAATAGTAATAATAGTATTCGCAATGAGCATGGTGGGGGTGACTTGGAGGATGGAGTTCCTGATAGGGATGGTGGCAGCAGTGAAGAATCTGATGTTGGCAGTGATCTTTACAAGAACGAAGACGACAAACAGAAGCTCGCAAATATGACAGAACTTGAAAGGGAGATGATTTTGTCTGATAGAGCAACCAAAAAATGTGACAAGGAATTCAAAGAGAAAATGAGAATGAAGAGGGAAAACAAAAATGCAAGTGCAAAGATTAGTTCTGCTGCAAATTCATCTCATCATCCATCATCTGCCAAGGTTCGTTCCTCGGCTAGACATGCTGAGAGGACGGCTTCCAAAGGAGATGTTCTAAGTGAATTGCGCGCGAAAAGGATGAAGCAACAAATCTTAGATCCTCATGATAAATTGGGAAAGGCTTCAGGATCAGGCTCAAGTAGCAAGCAGACACCTGGGGTCGCGGCAAGTCCTAGTAGCTCTAGTCAGAGTGAGAGTGTTATTCGGTCTGACAGTGAAAGAGAGTCATCTGATGATGGTGGATTGGGTGACAGTGATGATGACAAGAACATTCTTGAATCAAAGATGCCAACGTTTGAGAACATTAGGGAAATCACAATTAGGAGATCAAAGCTTGTGAAGTGGTTGAATGAACCATTTTTTGAGGAGTTAATTGTTGGTTGTTTTGTGAGAATTGGCATAGGAAAGTCAGAAAGTGGACCTGTTTATAGGCTCTGCATAGTGCAGAGAGTTGATGGGGCTGACCCAAATAAGCATTACAAGGTAGAGAATAGAGTCACTCACAAATATCTAGTTTGTGTGTGGGGCAGTGAGAACTCGGCTAAAAAGTTTCAGGTGGCTGTAGTTTCAGATTCTGCACCATTGGAGAAAGAGTTCAGACAGTGGGTTAGAGAAGTTGAGAGAACTTGCAGCCAAATGCCGAGTAAGATGAGTGTCTTGGAGAAGAAGGAGGCCATAAGAAGAACAAGCGCGTATGTTTATTCAGCTGCCACTGTGAAGCAGATGCTAGAAGAAAAAAAATCAGCCCCATCTAGGCCACTGAACATCGCAGTGGAGAAGGATCGTTTGAAGAATCTGTTGGAGGTTGCAAAATGTAAGAATGATGAAGCAGAGATGGATAGGATCTTGAGAAAGCTCGCGGATTTGGAAGCATCTCGTAAATCCCGAGAGAATGATGCAAAGGCTTTGAGGCTGGCTGAGATGAACAGGAAGAACAAGGTTGAGAACTTCAAGAACTTATCTGAACATAAACAGTTGAATGCAAATTTGAAAGCGGGTGAGGAAGGCTATGATCCCTTTTCGAGGAGATGGACAAGGTCGAGGAATTACTACGGGAAAGATACCGAGAAGAATGAAGATAAAGGAGAAAATGATGGTGAAGTTAGTAAGGGGGAAGAGAAAGAAGAAGAAGAAGCTGTTACAACAAAGGCTGGTGTTGAAGTCACAGAATTGGCATTGCAAGCAGCTGCTGATGAAGGGAAGTTGATTGATACTAATGCTCCTGTGGATGGTGGAACAGAATCAAATATGATGCACGATTTCGACTTGCCTATCTCTTTGGCTGAACTCAAGAATTTTGGTGGACCACAGGGACTCAAAAATGGGTTTCTAGCAAGGAAACAAAAAATAGAAGCAACAGTCGGGTGCAGGGTTTCTGAGAATGATGGGAGTCGGCATGCACTTACATTAACTATCAGTGACTACAAGAGAAGAAGAGGACTTCTGTGAAGTTAGAAATTTAGTTTTACACTGCATCTACTATCTAGATCATTGTATAAAGGTTATACTTTTAACTGAATATGTAGACAGCAAATAATAGGTGACCAATTTTATTTATTTATTTATTTAACATAAGTGATGCCTTTCCTCTGCTCCTCGGCATGTTTCTAAAGTTTTCATGCTTCTCCTGTTTCTATGCTTTGCTTACATATGTTGTGTGGTTGGGATGTACACTATTTATTGAAAATATATTAGCTGCTAAAGGTTGAATTCCTTGTTTTATATTTTCTTTATATGATACTGGAAAAACCTAATAAAAAGTTCAATACAGGAAATGTGTTCAATAAAAATTGAGAATTAGTCAACTTAGTTTCCTATTAAATGGGTTAAATGTTTGGAATAGTATGAAATGAGTGAAATGAAACTGCGGAGCATTCTTTTTACATTGCAAAGATCAGTGGACATAACTGGCAAGTTCGTATCTTTGAAATGAGGAACACTTGTGATAAAGTTTTGTTTTCTACAACATCAAATAATAAAAGAATAAACAGTAAGCAAAGATAACAATGCTCCCAAGGAGAATTTTATGATGAGAAAATTCAATATGTACATGTTTGCATTTATACAGATGAGTGAGATCCCCCTCTCATCAAAGGAAAGCCATATTTATCATATTCACAACCAATATAATTTTTACAATTTCCTATAAAACTCATACCATACCCTAAACCTTTTACTGCATGGAAGAGCCTCTCATCACACGAGAATCTGAGATTTGGCAGCGTCACGAGAGCATTTGACTCTGCCACTCTTGTTAAGCAAACAAACACAAGTCTCCAGGATCTCAAAATCCTCATTCCAGCATAACAAGGAAGCCATTTCAGGACTCTTCAAAAGCATCTTAGATGCAAGGTACCCAGCTAAAGTCCAAGTTTGATAAAGCCGGGCTTGTTTACCAATAAATCTTGCTGTGCGGGTGTCATAATATTCTGGCCAAGAATCACGTGGCAGCCTCTTCTCGGCCAAAGCAACTGCTTTCTCTGCCAGTTCAGTTCTCTCCATTTTCATGCATGCAAGTGTGAACTGAAGACAATGATGCATTAGGAAACACATCAATATATGCAAAGTTTAGTTGCGAAGATGAACAACAGCATTTTCTCAACTTTACATAATTAAAATAAAACACAATTGTTTTCAAAATGGAAATAAATTTACCTGCCACAGAAGGGTTGGCCAGGACCCACCATTGTGATATGACCAAGGGCTGCACAAATTAAGCATGGTGTTTTTAGTTAAGACTTAAGATGTACACCATAGAAGCGATAATACAAACACTATGCATTCTTCAATGTACTTTACTTTTCTTTTATCCAAAAAGAAAAAAGAAAGAACTCAGACATGCAAAACAACTGAAAGCAATATCAAGGGAAGAATTTATACGTATTCTTTGGGTCACTGCCTGTAATTATTCGCCATTCATGATGCTCCAAGGCAGGATAACATATCTTAAGTGGCATTTGCCCCACGAGATCATCCCAATTTGCTTCTATCAGATTCAAAATAGCATTATTCTGTCTTGGGGTGCCCAAAGAGGAAACAACTGACCAAAGATTTCCAAGCATGAAAAACCTGAAATCCATATGAGCTGGCTGCAGATTCCCTAGCAGATATCCTCCTCCCTCTGGAACCCAATCAGTTACCCACAAAGGGATTTGATCTGGATAGATGTTGAACTTGTTTGTGGCATTCAATGAGTACTCTTCTGTTTTGTACCTGTATATCTCGTTCATCTTTTGCGGGTCCAACCAGTAGTATTCTCTAATGTGAAATGACAGTGCACTGAGTCTGTTATTAATTTCTCCAACCAGATTCTTGGAATTTTCATCTGCAGCAACCATCTCACGGGCCGAGCGAAGAGCTGAGTAAAACAAGGCCTGCAAAGCAAAAATTTACTAAGGTCAACCAAAATGAGAGATTCTGAGAAAAGAATCTAAATTCTGAATCCATAGTTTCTCATCTCAAGTTCAACCCAGATACATTGATGTTGAGTATATCACAAAAGTTGGAATACCTAATATAGACTAGGGAAATTGCAGCTGATCGATGTAAAACAAGAAATCAAGAATTCCAAATCCTTATAGCAGCTAATATAAAACACAAGAATGCAAACTTTGCTTATTTACACTCACTTGAATCTCAAGGGGGTGGCCATGAATACCCATCCTCCTGTCTATCATGCAAGATCCATCAGTTACTAACAGAGAAGGAAACATGTCAAAGCCATCCGTTAAGCACAGATTAAGGATCATTTTTAGGCCTGTTTGAACATCCAACCTTTCTTGCAAGCCGTAGTCCCCAGTAAGCTTCCCATAAGCCCGCAGCAGGATGATCCACCACAATCCTGTCAGGAAACCAAACATGGAAATAAGTCATTTTGTGATGTTACTTAAACAATATTCTGGAAATCACTTTGTTTACAATGCACGTACAAGCAATCTCCCAAAGAATTACCCTTTTACAGGTACATCTTATAGAACAGAAAAGCCTAACCTGAATCTACAGGAGCAACACGACCTATAGCTGATTCCCCAAAATCTGGATCTAAAACTTCTTCGGTTTTTCCTTCATCAAGATTCATTGTTTTAACTTTGAAACTAGCAGGCATCAGGCCCTGCCCTGGGCTATAGCAGTCCACTGTTTTCTCCCAACTCTTGCAATTGAAGAGGGAGAAGGATGGAACATATTAAACTTTAAAAAAGAGAAAGCAAGCAAGACATGATGACAAAAAAGTAATAGTATCACATTTTTTTACAGTTTAATAAACCAACAATTTTATATATCTTCTCTCTTAAGTGTTCTCTTAATTAAAAATATATCTCTAATTCCTCAAGTATTACAAATCATGTTAATTAGTTTGATGGAAAATGGACAATATAAACAAAATAACTTCATACTGATTATTTTGTTCTTCATTCACGGTTGTTTTTATTTTTTGTCTCACAACAACTTTTACAAAAACCGTCGATAAACTTGACCAACCACAAACTGTATATATGTATATTACCTGGAGTTGCAAGGTGTGCAGGAGAAAGTTCTTGACAATCTCCTTTTCTCCCTTGAGCAAGAAAGCAAGAGCTGAAGGGATAAAATCCCTAATAAAAACCTGATCATAATTCAAAGGTTGTTGATCATCTGAATCATTCGCTGCCACCGTCCCCACAGGGGTGTCACAGTACGTCACAAGCGCCTCTTGCAATAGCTTCCATGCCTCTTTCTCCACTTCTGTCTCCTCTTCCTCTACCTTCTCACCCTCTTCTTCTACATTCTCTCTCTTCTCATTTTTCTCACCAACTTCTAAATTAGACACTTCCTCTCCTGCAACACTATTCTCACCATCGTCAACCCTTTCCACCATTATTGGGTTCACATTCAGGCCACTCTTTACGTAAACCATTTTACCATTATTGTTCTCATATGTCTCCATGGAGCTTGAGAAGGCACGAGACTTGAAATTGAAGTCAACTCCGGCAATGGTAGACACACTCCGTTTTGTTGTTGTTGTTGCGATTAAACTTGATTGGCCAAAACTCGAGGAGGGTAACCCAAAAACTTGTTGGCTACCATGCATTACGCGTCCAAATTCCCGCGCGTGAAAAGGGAACTGCATGGTGTTGTGATCATGATTGAGGCCACAAGTGGTAGAGTTATTGGACATAGACATGGTTATTGTACGGTGGCATCTTGCAAGAATCGATGAATTTTTGTAACCAATTAGGATCTTAGGGGATGGTTTCATGGTGCAATTGCAAACAAGGTTGACCGTGATCATAACAAAAGAACCCAAACGAAATACGTGCAAGTGGTTGATACAGATGATTTTGAATATTTTGCCAATTGAAAAAACGTAATGGTAATGGCAACAAGAGAAGTTAAAGAAAGGATGTTTTAAACTTGGGAAAAGAAACAAGAATGGAGAAAACCATGAGGAATGTGATTGTGGATGTGGCCTTTTTATTATGTATAGGAAGGAAAAATGCTACCTTGGGAAACCAAGATTGAGATTCTGATTTCTTACCACAGAATCCCCATGGTTAGATATTGCTTCTGCGTCCCCTTTTAGCAAACCATTTATTTTAGATTTTTATGGTTGAATATCTCTGAGTGGATTACTTGCTTACAAAATTTAGGTTACTTTCTATTTCTAACCTGAATATTGGGGGTTTGTAGTTTGCAGTTCTCAACCGTGACATTTGCTCTATAATCAGTGTAAAATGGTCCGTTTTTTGCTATATTTGGCAAGCATTTAGCAAGGAATAGAATTTTTGTAAGTGCATTTGGATTAGCCCTGATAATTTACTATAATCAGAATCTTATTTTAAGATTCTCTTCATTTCTCCTGAAAAACAAATTAAGCAATTCAGAGTATTCGTCTAACAAGAAAATTTAAGAAAATAGATTAATTCAGATTTTGGTGAAAGAAAAATAGAATAGAGATGATAAAATAGATGAGAAATAAAAATGTCAGTGATCTTCTTTGAGGAGAAATGAAAAAGAAAACAAAATGAAGAAGTGTGGGATCACTAATTATTTTTAATTTTTTTTTATTTCTTTTGAATTTTTACGTTTGAATAGATTTTTTTTACACCAATATTGGAAATGCTCTCATCCCATGAAAAGGAGGGAAAAAGAGAGACATCATGAAAAAAAGAAATTAATCAAAACATATTATAACTTTTTATTTCTTCTGTTAGTCAACATGGTTACTTAGTTTACAAAGAACTTGAAATCAGGTTAGCTTAAATGAAGATTGTTCGAGATAAAGTCAGTTATAATAAGAAAATATTCAGGATAAAAGTATGAGATGACTGAATCTAGGAGAGCCGGTTAGACATTTCCTCATAATCTTATACATGAATGAAAAAAAAGACAAAAAAAAAAAGACATAGAAATAAACACACAAGTCCATGATAAGCTTATGAAGAGATGTCTAACCGACCCTGCCAGTTCAGTCATATCATAATCTTATCATGGACTTGTGTGTTTATTTCTATGTCTTTACTTTTCTGCCTTTTTTTTCGTTCATGTATAAGCTTATGAGGAGATGTCTAATCAGTCCTGTCAGATTCAGTCATCTCATAATCTTAACCTGAATATCTTCTTGCTATAACCGACTTTATCTCGAACAGTCTTCATTTAAGCTAGCCTGGTTTCAGGTTCTTTGTAAGTTAAGTAGTCACGTTGACTCACAGAAGAGATAAAGAGTTATAACATGTTTTGGTTTATTTCTTTTCCCGTTATGTCCCTCTTTCCCCCTCCTTTTCATGGGATCAGAGCAGTTTTTCCCATATTGAGTTTTTCTGTTTCTCTATTTCTCCACTTTGGTATCAGAGCGAGAAATCTTCGGTTACCTGAATATTTTTGCAATTGAACTAGTTTGTATTCGTTAGGATACTCTTTGTAGTAGGACAGGTTAAGGTCATGGAGAGTCATGAGAACCCTAAGTCTCGCGAAGCTACCTGTGTGGGTTGAGGCATATTGCAGCAGTCTTTGCAAAAATATTTCTTATACATCTTTTTATTTTCTTTCATGTATACATTTGTTCTATTTTCATGTTAATTTTCTTGATATAAAAAAAACAAAAATTAATAAAAACAACAAAAAGATTTTCTTTTAAGCCTTATGGTTATCTATATTCTTTTATAAATATTGTTTTACAGTATATTTCGTAGATTCCCTTATTCTCCTCCACTAATATGTTGTTTTATTTTCTTGCTCTCTGATTTACTACTTTTTTTATAATTTTTTATTTTAAAAATTTTAATGGAAGGTACTACACAGCCTTTTTTAGGCAAAGACTACAAAACAACTCTGTTAGCTGTTGAACAAATTACAAAATCCCCTTCAGTTGGATACCAAAAGCCTACTTCAAAAGTAGACTCTACACACATAGTCATTATTGGACAAAATAACACGATAATAGCGCTTCTAGAAGAAGTGTCTAGAAAATTAACTTGTTTAATGGATTTAAACAAAAATACAAACAAGACAAATGAGATAGATGATATCATCAATTAAGTTTCTAAATTATCTTTAGGAATCAACACACACATAGAGACAATTTCTAAAAATACTCAGAAATTTGTCAAAGTTACAACAAAGAAAAAAGAAGTTTCTTCTTCCACAAATAATATTAGGAGTTAGTTATGTTTACACAATCCAATAACTCCACACAAATACAAATATGATATGAATAGTACAACAGATTCTAACCAAATACAAAGATTTCTCGGAGTCCCTAGAAGACTAAGGGAACATCAAACTAGGAGTCAAAACCTGATACAACATCCAAAAATTTTAGATAGATTCCTAAATAGATAAAGATCTACTAATTTCAGACGTTTAGAAGACTTAGTAGATATACAACAAAATACTGAGATAGGATCAAATACAATGATAGATTTCTTGAATCCTAAATAGTTATACAATATTGATTGGCTAAGCTCAGAAATGACTAACCTTTACCGATATAGAAGAATAGAATATTTTCATCTTCCAGACAACACTTATAAGATAATTCCTCTAATATCTCAACAAACTGGTAGACAACTACTAGGCCAACAAGGAAGATATGTCCATATGAGATTGATTACCATTGGAGTTAGATCCTTGACTAGGCATATGATTGGAGTTAGAACTTTGATAGTTCTACATGACTCCAGATTTCAAAACATTGATTCACAAAGTGTTATAGGTATTTTAGAGGTAGATTTAAATCAACATTTTTCATTGATATACCTTGCACCAAACTTTACACTAACACTTCCAGATTTTGTTAACCACATAAGTCTAGAAGTACAAACAGTAGGATTTGGACCCAATTAGGTGGGCGAAAATCTACATTTAGACATCACCTTCATTGGAAGAATTAGTAACCATATTTCTTCCATGTATAGGATAGACACAAGACCATTAGAGGAAGCTATCAGCTCTCATGGTACATAATTTTTGCCAGCTCAAGCCTTCACAAGGAGAAATGAAGGACATTTATGACAAACACACTTACCAAGGAAAGAAAATAATCCCATTATTGCCCCTTCATCTGCTATTTTGTATAACAGATCTAGAGGACTTAGTCTAAGCTTCACAGACTACAGAAATATACCACGAATAGACCTAGAACAAGATAGGCCAGTGAAAAACAGGCATAACACCTCTGTAATTCCTGACAACGAAAACATTTCTATGATGAATCTCATAGAATATGAGGAAGAAGATGATGATGATGATGATGATGACATGACTAATGAAGAATGAAATCATCACCAGGCTATTATAGCCATGTACAAACAAGAAACTTTAGATTTTTTTCCCAGAAAAATGAAGATGTCCAAATTAATGAATAGGATAATATCATTAATGAAATGGACGATATTATAGACACGTTTTTAGATAATTTGTGTCTAAAAGAAGAAGATGATACCTTAGATGATGTATCCAAAATCTCATAACCCTTATTCACAATAAGGTTAGTTAACACAAATAGTGATACATTGGATGATCTATCTTTAGTCTCAGAACCCTTATCAACATTAGGGTTAGTGAACACAAATGTTGGATCAAATGATTTCCAACCTCACATCTATCAGCTAGAACCTGATGGCGAACAAAGTTATTCTATTGACTTTTTGCCTAGAGAATCACCACAAAATGTTGTTTTCAGTAACAACCAATACACAACACAAGGCAAAAGACTCCCGATTGAGCCAAATTTTCAGATGCCTAATCTTCTTTTAAACATAGGAGGAATAGATCCTCAACTATTGCCGACATATATTGAACAATGGACGATAACCGTAATCCGTGATTATGACATACACCATGAGAAAGATGTTCAATCTTTTCAAGAAATGATTGCTAAGGCGAAACCTATTTAGGTGATATAGCCAGGGCATGTTGAGAATCTTTTAAAAAGAATTACCCAACTGATTTAAATCCGTTAGTGATCGAACCAGGTCCTAACATATACAATTTTTGTTCTCTTTTACAGAGACTACTCACTTCCCAATCTGCAAATGATGGGAATACACTTAGACAACAAATCTATCTAGGTCATCTAGAAAGACTTTCCATAACATACTTTGGAAAGATAAAATAATTTTTACAAGATTATCTCATGTACGCATCCATAGCTAGATGTTTTCATGATTTAAGTATTGGAGAAAAGATGTTTCTCAAACTACCAGGAAAACTAGGCCAAAAGATTCGAGAATCCTGGAAAAATGATGAGGTTACTCCCATGTTGAATAACCTCTCTATACGTATACAACACATCATGAAAGTGATGGAAGATATGTGTACACATATTGCTATACAAAAGCAATTAAAAAATTCTGATGCTGGAATTTGCAAACAAATATATATACTTCTCAGCAGTATAATCAAAACAAACCTCACAAAAGGTATGTACCTAGGAGTAAACCTAGGTATAATAAAAATTACAATAAGAATTCTTATTATGCAAAACTGAAACCCACTACTTCTAGAAAGACCTATACGATTAGGTCTTCAAATTCTAGAAAATCAATTCTAAATCCTAACAGACACCTTAGAAAATTTAGAGACACTAAAACATACAAACAAACATTAAAATATTTTGCTTACAACCAACCAGGACATTTCTCTAGAGATTGTCCTAATCTAGCAAACATTTACATAAAAAAGGCAGAACTCATAAAATCCTGCCACATGAACCTTCTTCCTATTGATGAAGATGTTTCTACAGATTTTGAAATACTATCCGTGATTAGTATAACAGAATATACTGATGAAATCAATTTAGATAAAAGCCATAAAGATTATGGGCTAATAAATTATTTCACAAATAATAAATTCATACACCTTTATCCACAGGAAAATGACTTCCAACTGGATAATAAATACAATGAATTGGAAAATATATTAGATGATTTTGGATATTGTCTAATGAATACAATAGTTTCTTCTTGTGATAAGGAAAATAACAAAAGGATATTGTAGAATTATATCAGTTACACAGGTACAGATATGGTAAACCCAATCAACAAAGGCAAGTCACCAGCCTCAACAACTAAGAGTTTGATACTCTAAAGTTTGGTACACAACATCTTTCGATTTTACCAAAAGGTCATCTCAACAATTCAAATATCTGAGGAATTTTCCCGTTTCAAGGGAATAAAAGGTTCTATTTGATGTTCTTCATCGAGCTAGTAGCAACAACAAAGTTTAATGTTTTCAATGCATTAAATTATTACTTTGCGAAAATATTGCCCGCTTTTTTTAAAAAATCCAAGAATTAGGCCTACTACCTTTTTACTGGTAACAAGCGTGGCGTCTACCTATCATACTCTTCTCTTTTGAGGGTCATAGGTAATGACAAAACAACAAATTTCAAGGATTTTGTAACCTTGAAGAAGTTGTACAGGCAATGATTAGCTATGTTGGTGGTGATAACAACATGTTGGATCATCCAGAAGTTGGTAATTTCATTTTTGAAAAACCAACAAAACAAAAGAATTTTTCAATTTATGATTTCATTAAACTCAGACAACATTTGACTTTTGCCAGAAAAATGGAACAAAAATTGAAAACCTCTCTTTTTCAATAGAAAAAGGATTTTCAAAAACATATTTCTTGTTTGGAAAAAGAAAATGAAAAATTAAAAACTGAAATCTTAGAACTTTATAAAAAGATGGACTATGATTTCAGAACCATGGATTATGGAAACTTCACAAAACATATGACCTATATTGGGTCATTAAAAAGAAAATTTTTGGGTCAACTACCCAGCCCAATCCAAGAAAAAATCTATCAACATGCTTCAGATGCCTTGTTAGTAGAACTTGGAGCACTCCAGAACTGGTTATTTCAATTACCAGTAGATTCTGCACTTCGACAACACTTGAGGATAATCTTATATAAGGATAATTTGGCTCCCTCATCTTCCGATCAATACAACATCGGAATAAATCCTTATTTGGTGGAATGTGATCCTACTTGGATTAACTAAAGATTTATTCTTTTCAGGGTTTATGAAAATGATGATTATTTTCAGGGACGCAGTGACAGAACCATTTTTCGGTACAAAAATTAACTACTAGATAAATTCTTTCAGTGTGATTACAGTGAAGAGTATTTTATTGAAATATTCTCTACACACCCCAAAACACAAAAGACGAATACAGTCCAGCAAAACACTACTTGTTTCTGGATTCCGAGTCATTCACTGATATTTTTTTCAGTGACAATCTACAAAATATTGATCATGATAATTCTCCCTTCACTTCAGAGAGGTATGATCAATTCGAAGAAGAAGATATCAAAAAGGAGATGTTAGTCGAAACTACAACAATCAATCTTTGGGTAAGACTTGACAAAGCTTCATATTCACGGCGGAACTGTAAAAATCCCGTCTCACCACAACTAATGAGTCTTTCAGATAAAGATGAATTTGCCCTTGAAGATTTTGAGGAACTTCTAATAACGTAAGCCCTTACGTCATACAACAATATCGAAAGATGACAAAGGTTAATGATAGATAATGATATCTTGCTACCTTGTCATGGTTCTTCACCGTTACACGTTGTTAGGTCCTTTAAACCTTGTGTGTTAAAGACAGTAAGATTGAATCAACCTTTTGATAACAAATTGGTAGAAATCCTTCTACCAAAATAAAAAAAAAAAATCACTATTCAATTTTGTCTTTTAGTGAGGAAAAATATCCTCCATAAACTTCCCCTTTAAGTTAAGTTAACTTCCCCTTTTAAGTTTCTAAGACCGATATTTTTAGAATGGGTCTCATATTTATATTTTATTTTACAAAATCATACTTCATTCTTTTTCTATATAATGACTCATAAGTCCCTTATGCTGGGTAGAGGTCCTTTGCTCCTGAGAAGCTCCCTCCCCTTTCTCCCTCTTCACTTCCTTCTCCTCCTTCTCTTTACCTCTCTCTCATGTAAATTTATCTCCATCAATAAGATAATTACTTTCAAATTTCCTCCTTCTCCTTCCCTCTCTGAGTAAGTTTTTCTTTACTCATCTTTTATAAAGTAGTTTTCTTATAAGGATTTCCTCGGATGCCTTAAGTAGTATTTATTAAAAGATATAATAATCATTTAAAGGCTTAAAATTTTTTGTATAGTTTTTATGTTCATATAAGCTTATGAGGAGATATCTAACCTGGTTCTGCTAAATTCGATCATCTCATAATCTTATCATGAACTTGTGTGTTTATTTCTATGTCTTTATTTTTCTACTTTTTTTCTTTCATGTATAAACTTACGAGGAGATATCTAATCGACTCTGCCAGGATATTCGAGTTATTTCATAATTTTATACTCGAATATTTTCTTGCTCTAACTAACTTTATTTTGTACAGTCTTATTTTCTAATGTACAATGCTAAATTTAACCTATAAAATAATGATAAATGAAATAATAATTTTCTTTTTCGTTTAAAATAAATTAAGTACAGTGAATGATGGTTTTAAATCTCTTTTTATTAAGGGAAAAAGAATGAGAATAAGTAGATATGAGTGAGAGAATGTAACAGGAACAGTAGGATAAAATTGTGGTGCGGTGTTGCAGTTGATGTCCACTTGGTGTTTGTGTGAAGTGCGAGTGATCTCTTCTTTTCTCTTGTCTTGGCGATGGCTAATGCAATTGTAATGCCGAGTTTTCTGCCACGACCCTTTACCCAGACGACGCCGTTGCAGCTGCCCACTCACACTCACTCCTTCCAATCCCCTCGCTCCTCCCTCTCCCTCACAACCCAATCGGTAATTCTATCCTATTCTACTCAAATTTCATACTTTTAGGTGACGTCCTTCGTGTGTCTCTGTGTTTGTGTGTGTGTGTGTGTTTTCTTTCCTTATCTTAATTGTTGATCACTTACTCATTGCAGCATCTGACAGTGGCATTTGACCATGTAAATAAAACATAAACTAAATAAAATAAAAACTCCTTGGGAATTCGGGTATTTTGTTGTTGATTTCCTGGTTTGGTATCTAACTTAAGTGAGTATTGTGGTTGCATATACCAGAGGAAAGAAAGAGATTGTTTATAAACTTTTTTAACCTTTCTACGTCTGTTGATACATTTGAAATTGTTGCATTTTTCCGTACACAAATTTAACTAGTTAGTGGAGTTCAGTATTGTTTTAGGCGATATTCTAACCAATTTGTGTTGGTACTGTAATAGTTAAGGAAAAAGAAGCAAAGGGCATTTCCAGTTCGAAATATTGTTTTTTATTTTCTGTTTTTAACTTCTAATTATAAAAGAAAAAAAATATCTTCGTGTTTTTGTTTTGTTCCCTGATTGCAAGAGTTTGTATAAGAATTACTGAACATAAATAGGAAACAGAGTGAAAACAATGACATGGGGACATGTTTGTAATTAAAAGTGAAAGCATAAAACATTTTCATAGAACAAATGACTCCAAAGTTTCTTGAATCTCTGATCTTTACTACAAAACAATGAATGGCCAACAATACAGAGGATGCTGTTTATCTGCCAGTGAAATGGAAAGGAAAGGAGAGAGGAGAGAGAGTAGGCTATTTAGGTAGTGAGTGCAAATGGAAGAGGCAGTACAACCCTGAAGGCGTAATATAAGAACTAGTTAAGAAAAATAGTAACTCTAGTAATTTTGTCTGCATATATATCCATAGAATGGGTGTGAAGTAGATATTAGAATCTTAGTCTAACCTGAGCTGAGTGAACGTTTTCTCCTTTACTATCTTGGCATGGTTCATCTCCAACTTGGCTTTGATTCTATCCCTGCTAATATATAATCAGGCTAAAGGTTTTGCAGTTCCAAGAAGGAAAGCAATGTCCTTGATCTTATCAACTTACATTCTCTCAAAGGTCGATGTAGCACTGGCTCAACAGTCTCCTGTGTTCCGCGAATACATTGATGCGTTTGATGGTTATTCATTCCAGTACCCAGGGAGTTGGATTCAAGTCCGTGGTGCTGGGGCTGACATATTCTTCAGGGACCCCTATGTTCTTGATGAAAATCTATCGCTTGAAATTTCTTCACCATCATCCTCCCAATACAAGAGTGTTGAGGACTTGGGTCCACCCCAAGAAGCTGCAAAGAAAGTCCTCAAACAGTATCTGACTGAGTTTATGTCTACTAGACTTGGTGTTAGACGTGAATCAAATATTCTTTCAACTTCTTCAAGAGTAGCCGATGACGGCAAGTTATACTATCAAGTTGAGGTTGGTTAACAATTACATTCAAATTCACAAACACACCTCAAATGATGATCGTAGCATATACTGCCAGATAAAACTAGTTGGTTGGATTGGTATAAAAAAGTGATATAATTATAAATGAAGTACATAAAAAAATTGCAGATGACATCACTCTGGATAAGTAATGCATCTTTAAGGCGTTCATAAATCATAAGCCTTTTCACTCCTGATTGCAAATTTACATAATTGACTAATTTAGTTTATTGTCTCTATGTTGCAAAGGTAAACATCAAGTCATATGCCAACAACAATGAACTTGCTGTAATGCCACAAGACCGGGTAGCACGTCTGGAATGGGATCGTAGGTACCTATCTGTTCTTGGGGTTGAAAACAACCAACTGTATGAGTTGAGATTGCAGGTGCCAGAAAATGTGTTTGCAGAGGAGGAAAATGATCTTCGTAGAATCATGGATTCGTTTCGAGTAAACAAGACTGCCGGTTAGAACTAGAATGTTGGATACATGGAGATGTACTATGTCTTGAAATATAATCTTATATCTTTGTTTCTTCCTTTCTAATGATAATTTTTCTCTAGCTTTTTTTGCCATAATTTTGGCTCTAATGATTTGATCTTTACACCCTTCATTTTCATATCTATGTAAGTCTGCTTGTGAACACGACTTAACTTTTCTTAGGAGCTATTGTGATGTATCTCAATTCTTCAAACCATCAGACCCAATAAAAATTGCCTCATCAAATTTTAAGCCACATCTAAACAAGAATTGTTAAACCAGTATTGTGCTGGAAAAAAACTTAATTTTACTTATTTTTGGTTGATGAAGTGACTTAATTATTATATCAATAATACAAAATTATATAGTTGGAAAAGAGGAAGAAAATTAAATTCAATTTTAGTTTAAGTAAAATAAGAAAATCTAATATAAAGCTTATAGTGTAATTAGGATAAGTCCATATAATAGGATTGGCTAATGATGATAATGTTTGTTCAACTTTTCTCCCTTATGTTATTCTATGCAAAAATTACATTGCGCTCGATAGTAATTATTCATCTGATCTTTCATCCTCATGAAACTGAACGTTTTTTGTACCATAAATTCCAGTTTGTAATAAGATACTCGAATGATAGTGCTTCATATCTACAATTTATCCTACATTCAAAGTAAATTGGTGGACAAAATAAGGCAGAGGGGATCACTCATTCATCTAAGATCTTTAACTACACAATTCATTGTCAATGATGCCAATCTTAAACGAGAGAAAATAGATTCGTGATACAACTCGCAAGATTCTCTCATCAACCCACACGATGAATCCACTACAAAAATAATTTGAAACCAGATGAGAACACTATCCAACTCTTTACAAGTGAAACCGGCCGTGTAAATGAACAAAATTTCATATCCAGAATCATCACAAGCCTTAGATCACTCAATGGTAACACACAATTAGGACCTCACTTCAAATTCCCCTGCCCGAGTAAGAGCTCGAAAACCTTTATAAAAACGGTACGGTACAGTCTTAAGATCTAGTTTATCTATTTGCAGACCCGAGAGGGCAACACCCATAATCCTAAAACCCACTTGAAATGTGGGAAAGACATGAAGGCGCTCCAATCCAGTCTCCAGCACCAATGTTCCTGACATTGAAGGGGCTTTATCCTTTGGGATCCGACCAATGGACCAAAAGCATGTCTGTAGAAACAGAGAACGCTTCATATTACATCACGAAAGAAGACAGTATCTGACTATTTTGGCTTGGTTTCTATAATAGATAACAAAAGAAAGTTTGGTGCTTATTAGGTACCTTGTTAGACAGTATATTTACTATTCCATAATTTGAAGTCAGATCAGCTGATAAGACGCAAGAAGGAAGCTGAAACTGAACAGTAACGGAATCAATTGTCTTTCCAGGATCATTTCTTATTCCAACCAATACACTAACACGGCATGTTCCACCATCTGAAGTCAACTGTGGCTTTACATATATCGGGGTGTTCTTCAATTTTCTGACTCTGAAAAGAAAAATGTGAAACGTGCAAACTTTTGGAGAAATAGAAATGTGGGGATACCATTGAATTAAATTTAACATTCACAATTATATCTTTATTCATACCAACTTCTCAAATGAAGGTTTCAAATTCTAATTCAGACAAAAACAAAAACCTGGAGACCATACCTGTAACTCATGAGCTTAAATTGCCCATCAGGGGGCACGAATGAAAGAAATTGATGGGATTCCCAGGGCCGATATCTAACACAGGGATGGAACCTCACATCATCAAGGATTGAAGGATTTGAAAATGAAAGAGTCAAATCAGGAAGCCCTGTTATATGGGAATTCACTTGAACCTCACCATTGATCTCACATTTCACTAGAACTCCGTCCCTGAATCAACAGAATTTTTTAGTATCGATTATAACAGAAGCTGAAGGAATAGTACATAAGATACTAGCTACTACGGAGAAGTCTGGAGAAAATCATTGAAAATCCAGCCCTAGTCATATAAAGTTCCACTAGGTCAAGCCTCCAAGGATCTGAAATATCCTGTTCACGAAGCTTCTGAAAGACTATGGAGGAAAATGGAAAGGGATGAAAGAACCGAAAGAAGAATCCAAAGATATCACTGTTCTACAACTCTTTCTTTTCTAGAAATGGAAGCCATGTAAATATAAAAAAAGTATATGAATTTGTGTTGTCCACTACCATTTGATTGTAACATATCTTCCACATACCTAGTTATTTATTAAACATAATAAATGTATTTGAATGATTTGAATTTGATCAAGCATCTTTCCCCAAAATGGTTTTATTGGAAATGTCATATGTTATGTATGCATGTGCATATGTGAGTATATACACAAGACTTACAGCTTTACAGAGCTACATGCCCAATTGCTTATTCATTCTGACATTGTATTAGTTTGCAAGATAAGGAGTGAAACAACGAACTTCAATCCAGTAAAAGAAGATTTAGATAGTGTCAAAGCAGATGAGGGAAGAAAAGGGAAACTTCATTACTAAGTGATACAATAACCTAATTACAAGAAGAAAGCCTTATTTCACGTAGTGAGATTGGCTACATGAATCACACACATCATTTAGCTCGGTTAAGGACTACAGTTTCTAAAGTTATACAGTAACCTATCCCACAAACAAGCTTTCACTGTTATGTATCATAATGATATTTTCTTCTTGTGAAGGAAAACAAGTAAATAGTTTCTTCTTCAACTGGTCTCAGTTTCAAAGTTTTCTACCAAAAACAAAGCTCAAAGGGACCTAAGCCAGAAATTAAGTATAACACCATAATTAAAATAATAATAATAATAATAATAATAATAATAATAACAAAACACCAATAAAATTATCAACATTTGGAAGTGAAAGACAACGATTCCAGAAGATAGACCTGTTTATCGTTGCATCCATTTCTTCAACAAGATCTACATAAATTTCATTGTTGGCATACTTTGTGTCTGCTGTTCTCCAGGGAACAAGAGATGCAGTAGCACCTGGGAGGGTGTCACTCACATTGGAGCTGCTGCCAGTCACAACACTCAAGACTTTGCTAACGATATTTGGTGGAGCTATCATCTCTCGCAGGATGTTAGGTTCCGTAGTTAGCGGGAAGCCATTGTCTATCATCTCATCCAGAAGCTATAATAACATAAAAGCTTTGCATCTAAAAAACAATTCAATGGAGGTAAAATGCAAAACATCATTTTGGCAAAAGTGAATACCTCATACACAATGACAAAGTTGTCTTTGATCAAGTCTTCATTCAATCCCCCAAGATATTCATTGAGAACGTCAGCTACCCTACAAAGGAACTAAAAATCAGATGGTTAAGAAAACAAATACAGGCATTGATGTATGAGTTGAAAATAACTGGGAAGATACATACTTCAATGGCCATCAATGGTGGCATTTCGACTTGAGTGCAAGCCAAAAAAGTTATTCCCTCACGAAAAATTTGGAATAGATAATGCGTGGGGGAAGCAATAACTGGTTGTTGCTGTACAGAGAAGAGAAGAAGGTAAATAAAAGTAAAAGGTAGAGAAAAATGAAATATTTAGGAATGAAAATGAAAACCTTGAAGGAATCAGGTTGAGAAATGGCTTGGTCCCAGAACCAGGCACATATTGAGCGATCTACGCGGTGCCCAGTAAGCTGTTTCTCTAGCATCACCTCTCTAAGGAATCCAATTTTCAGAGTCAACAAATTAAAGTGGATATTTAAATTAGAAATTGGAATTAACTTGATTTGTAAAACCTAGAGAAAGTAAGGGAACGTGTGAATCTTACCCGGAATCGGACAGAAGAAATATGCACTGCAACATTTCTCTTTCTCGCTCAAAATCAAAGCTCAGAAACAAATGTAGGGAAGGGAGATAAAAAGGGGATGGAGATAGTGATGATTGTAATAATTGAATAGAAAAGTTAAAAAGGTTTGACAAAGGGAAAGTTTGTGACGAAGAGTGTTTCCATCAATTCACAAAGGTCGATACAACCTACGTTAGTTTCTTCGTCCTTCAGTTCAGACACCAGTCATCATTGTCCATCCCTAACATTTCTCAACTAAAATTAATACTTCAATTTCAATAGATAAATAAATATGTGAATGTTTTATAATTAACAAGCATGACAAATCGGTTTAGCCCGTAGCGCATCATAATATAATGGGGGTTAATCCTTTCAGTATGTTACGGTACGTTTCGTCAAATCTATCAAATACGGTCTAATTTACTAATAATTTTTTTAATTTAATATAATAAAAAAGTCAAAAAATAAATATATAATATAAAAATGTATAAATTTTTTTTTTAAATCTCAATTTCTTATCAGAATTCAAAATATTTTATAATTATTTAAATAAAAAACTTCTTTTTTCTCAACTACAAATACCTTTCCCTCTTCTTTTCTTATTTACCATCTTCTTTTTATTTATCTTTTTTATAAGATAAAAATTATATATATGTTGTACCTTTTTTCTATTATTAAAATATTTAATTTAAAAATAATAAAATAAAAAATATAACTAATCAACTCGTCTTTTAATAAAACGAACCATCACATATAATCCGTCGTAATTATAATAAACTAGTCCAACCCGCTCTTATTGAAACGAAAACAGAAAGATATTAATAATTAATAAACTCAAGCATCGAACAGAAGAGAGTTTAATGTTCCCAAAGGCGGTTTGGGTAAGGGAAAATTGTATTATTAACTAATTAAAAGTTACTGTGAATTGTAATTTTAAAATAATTATTATAAAAATCAGGAAATTTATCTTAAATGACAATTTATAATTTAATAATGTTATGATAATATTTATATATATCAGTATATTTAAATTATATTTGATAGTAAAAACACAAGAAGTTAAGTAAACTATATTTTAACTACAGGTTACTATTAACTTATTATTTGTACCATTTTGCTTTCCAAACCGTAATAAAAATTTTACCTAATTTTGATAAAATTAATTGAACTCACTAAGCATAACTAATAAGATGTGTGCCTAAAATAATCTCAAGAAAAGTTTACTGAAATGTATACTTGTTTTTTTTTTAAATGTATAGGAATTAATTTAAGTATTTTTTTCTATTAAAAATGTATAAGATTTGATGTTGTTAGGTGAAAAGGAGCATCTTAAATCCTAACACCACAGAAAATAAATTTACAAAATATTTTTTCTGTAATTTCAATAGGGGAGCAATTGGGCCACCAAAAAAAATTAAATAGTCTTTCCGAATGAGATTTAAGAAATTCTATCAAAATATTGGTTATGTACCAAAAGAAAAACTAAATGCTTTGCAGCTCTGCACTCCCTGAATTCACTATATTCTTAATGTTGGCTCCGAGTTGAAGGATTTTTGGTACATCATGAACACGTGTGCATGTTTTAGCTAATTTAATGAACTTGTGTTAGTTAATTTCAATATACATAATATTTTCGTGCGCATGACCCGTGGTTCGAAAATAGATTTGACCCCAAGTAAGCTAATCTCTGCCACTAATTTCATGAACTTTTCTTCTGGTATAACTTACTCTACCTAGCAACTTCTGAAAATGGAGGTGATCATTTCCTCAAAATTTTATTTTTACTGTGAAATTTAATGATAATTAAATATATTTCTTTATATATTTATAATTTTATTTTCTCATTTTTTTTATTTTTTTATACTTTCATATTAATTTATTATTTATTAATAATATATTATATGACCCTAAATTTTATTTTATTTTTATATTAATTTATTATTTATTAATAATATATTTTTTGACTAAAAAAATAATGATGATATGAATAAGATTATTGTTTCTACTTCAAGTCAAAATCTATTTATGTCAAGCGTTTGATTTTTAAGTTTACATATATTTTGGTCAATGAGTTAATGTTAGAAGATAAATCATCATGCATATATCATTTGACAATAATAGTCATAGCCATTACATTGTAAGATACAAAATTTTGCATGTGCTAGCTCATACTCTATGCAACTTATCTAAAACTATACCCGCTGAGTCATGTAGCTGATTGCAGGACCGGCGAGGGCTAAACTTTCTCTTTCAGACAAAGTATTCGTATAGTCTAGACTTTTCCTTGAAGAATAGGGAAGTTCACTTAATCCATACATACTATATAAACCTTTCTCGAGTCAGCAGAGGTGGTTTTGGGATAAGAATTTCCTTTCAAGAGTTTTCTTCTGCAGCTGATGTAGGAGTGAAAGATTCCTCAGACAACACTGAATGCTGACTGTAATGTAGATGAGACCCGTGAGGCAATTGCTTGGGAGGCAAATTGTTGAATCCGCTTCTTAGCATCTGAAATAACTAAGCAGCGTTATCCTTTGCAAAATGTTTGTCCATCTAATAAATATAAACCATTGCCAGACAAAAAGGAACAATTGTGTAGAGCATAAAAGAAATCCTTCCATTTAGGAAGAATCATCTATCTCATTTGTGTGTGCCATCTTTCTTGTTCCCTTAATAGAAAAATGATAGCTCAGACAAACAAGAAATAGATTGTTACTCTTTCATTTAACTCTCATTGTTCTATTGGGGGGACAAGCACGAGGACATGAATTGGAGTGTAGAAATACCAATCTCGGGATGTAAGATGAAAATAGGCTTTGGAGAACTCCAAAGGCATGTATGTTTCATGCTTTCTCACAGGACTATATCAATTGAAATGAAATATGTGTTCGTGGCATGTAATGTACAAAACATGGATGCAACAGTTGAAAATAAATACACAACCTAAAGTTCATCCCCACAAAAATGTAATGCTATGTATTATTACAATTTACAAAGTGTTATTCCTTTTGCTTTCCGTTTTCACACATCATTTACACAATCTTGCCAAAATAATTTTTCCTTTTTATTTAACATTGCCAGTACCAGTGTACAACCATTTCTACTATTTTAATCATGACAAGACAAGAATTTCTTGATTAGGAATCAATATCGACAGAGAGCACCATAATGATCTTATAAAAAGTCCCCTGAGTAGGATGTAATTTGTAAGCGACATATACAAAAATGCAATTTAAAAAGCATTAATAATCATAAAATCCGTCTACTACCTTTGACCCAGATATCGTGAACCAACCACAAGAAATTATGATAAGTGATTGATTAAGAAAAGAGTCACGTTGAGGCCAAATAGTGCCCATCGCACTAGTCCAGAAATTCATAAATTACCATTTGACATGTAACCAATGAATGCTAACACGTTTTCATAGAATCCCAACAGAGAAACAGGTACTATATTAGATAATATGTCCCGATTTCAACTCATGAAGATGACATTATTTTTATGTTAATAATATAATGAATTAATTTATGCTGGGACAGTGGAGGTAAATTAGAGTGAGCAAGTCTTCACATGGAACTATCTCATTATTTCCAGCAATTGACCCACCTTAAACCCATAAATATTATTGGAAATATAAGATACAATTTAAAGAACATAAACAATCTAGCATACCTTTTTGGCATTTGGTAAAACCAACAATATTTGCAATACTGAGGGTCAAACAAACTCCAACAACTAGGAGATAATCAGCTTGCAGCTTTATGAGTGAGAACAATGCCATCATAGTCCATGCAACTGCCTATAGTAATACACGAAAAAATTATGGTTTACTGGAAAATAAAGTTGTTGGATGAGGGATGATAAAAAAAACAAAATGTAAGCAGTGGCAAAGCCCATTTGTCAATTAGATTCTCCATTCAGATCCAACATTTAACAGAATCGGTCACTCTATTTAGTACAATAATTTTTATTCAGTATTGACATCAAAATGAACCATCTGAATAAGCCTGACGTAGACCGAACCTTCCATATACTAGCCCCTTCAATTTTTTGACAAATTACCAATAAATAGCCAAAGGATATAAGAAAAAAATGGAATATCACCACAAGCTCGGTCATTGATGTTTTCTTACTGTAAGGTAAAGTGTCCACCAGAAAAGCCATGAATCTTTCTTGTTGATCCGGGCCAATGACTGGAGAAAAAACAAACAAAATAGGTAAGATGCAAGTATCTTCATAGCATTTCCATTGCATCTTATGCAACTCAGCAGAGATGTTATAGATAGAAAGGGTCACAGGGAAACATTATTTAAAAAATAAGATAACAACATGCAAGTTGCAACTGATTAGAACAAGCAAATCGCACCTCTTGATCGAGACACTCAAATTTCCATACACTCTCACCCAGATCATCTATTTCATTCCACCACCTCATACCAACTAAAATTCTTCCACTCACATTCTTGACTACCCAAAAATCAAGAGCGGCTAGAAAGACAGTCGTCACAAAAATGATGACAAAGTTATCAATAAAGAGGGCAGAGAGGATGTAAAATGCCAAGGCTGAAGCCTGCCAGACACAAAAACTGAAACAATTATACTTGTAAGAACTAAAAAATTGCCATTGGCGAATAAAGAAAAATATCGAAACAGTGCAAATAAATTAAATGAAGTGAACCTTGAAGAGAACATGAAAGAAGCAAGTGTTTGGATTAGCGTAGTTTTCTTCTACAGGCTGCACGCACATTACATATTGATGAATTGACGTGACTTTAATTCAAAAACAAAAAAAAAATGTGGAAAATGTATACAAAGAAATCTTTTTCCTTTGATGCTCCGTCATATTTTCAGTGAACGAAAGTCTAAATCATATGCTAATTCAGGCGTGGATTAGATGAAATTCACGCATCTTCAAAATAAAAGAAAAATTAAAAATGTCTCTAAGGAAGAAGGGGAAAATGAAGAATGAAATTGAAACAAAGAAACTAAAATGTATGCAATTATCCTATAAGAATGAAAAGCAGAGAATCTACAAAATTGATAGAAACTTCACGTACCTGCCCCAGATCCATCCTTGTGACTGAGATCGGGCTTCGAAATGATTTCTGCAAAACAACAAGGCACTAATAACTTCTGAAAAAAGAGCGCCATAACTAACGGATCGTATTCGTACATATATGTCTCTCTCTTTTTTGTCCAAATATACGTACTTTATCATACGGGTGTATTGGGCCACCCATGCCTAGTCCAATTCTTATGGGCCGGGCCCATTCACAATTGCTTAGCCTTTTTTTTTCTCACTTCCCAGCACAATGCTATCGCTCTAATTTTTCATAATTTGGATTCTCTTGGTCTTTGTTTTGTGTGTTGTTGTGTTGGAATCTCAAAGAGGAATTTTTCTTTCATAGGCACAACACAAATATGTCTAAGTACATTCAGGTCACAAATATGGTGTAAGTGGTCTAATTTTATCTTATAATAAATAAATGAATTAAGATTTTATATGTTTTGAAAAAAAAAAAAAATTGAATGAATGTCAAAGAGGGAGGGAAATGAGAGGCTGTGGGTGGAGATGGAGTAGGGTCGTTGTCTTATCATAAGCAAAGAAGAGGTGGGGAGTTAGTTAGTTGGGTGAGGGAAAGGAAAACCACTTCAAATTTCATATCATACCATAATCTTTGGACTGCACTCCACACACACACATAGGAGCACTGTGTGGAAAGAAGCATGGCAAGACTGGTGGCACTTCAACTGAACCAACTATCTTTCTCTCCATTGGCCTCCTCTCTTTCTGACTTCAGCGGAACCAGACTTCAAAACCAACTTCAGGTCCTCATCTCTATAATCATTTCTCCCTCATATTCTCCATGTCATCATCACTATCATTTCATCCAATACCTGGCTCTTCTTCAATTCCATATTCAATCCTTTGATGTTTCTACATTAATTTTATGTCTTCATTTAGCAGCAGATGGTGAACAGCATTGTATTATTGTATCGTATGTTCATGTATTGCTAAACTATGTAATCTCACTTGGACAATTCTCATATCTGTCCTGTTGAGTTGAATTAATTAATGTTTTCCACGAACTTTGAGTTAACAACTTGAAGAATTTATGGATCCAACTGATAAATAAAGCAAATATATTCGTCCCTAACTCCTAGCATGCATATTTTTGGTACAGTTGAAGAGAACCTTCAGGCAGCCAAAAGGGTCTTTCTATGTCTCTGCATCAAGCACCAAGAAAATCCTTATCATGGGAGGCACCAGGTTTATTGGAGTGTTTTTGTCTAGGCTCCTTGTCAAAGAGGGTCACCAGGTATATGACTTACCCCATTTCGCGTTAACCCTTCTGGGCCTGCGTTTGTTTTGAGTAATGGTTTTTCATTCCTCCGTGAATGGTTTTCCAAGGAATTGTATCTTTTGAAAATCTTCTATACCTATGTTTGGCAATGTTATATAGTTCAAAATTACATTCCAAGGAATATTTGATGATAAAACATCTGAATTTGGCAGGTGACTTTATTTACAAGAGGTAAAGCGCCTGTCACTCAACAATTGCCTGGTGAATCAGACAGTGATTATGCTGATTTTTCTTCCAAGGTATCCAATTGTGCAGTAAATATAGAACACCGTGTAAGGCATGATGTGGATGTGAGCCTCTCATGTATTACCTTTGAGCATTTACACTTTTGTAGCATTTTTAATTTCCCAGATCTTGCATTTGAAAGGAGACAGGAAGGACTTCGAGTTTGTAAAATCCAGTCTCTCAGCAGAGGGGTTTGATGTTGTTTATGACATAAACGGTGTGCAAATTCCTACTGTTCTCACCTTCAGTGCCTTATGTTCACCTACAGCTTCATAATATACGTTACTCTTTACGTTCAAGTTCTGATTTTTCAAAACTTATCTCTCTTGAGACTCATAATTTTTTGGGCATATGTTTCAGGACGAGAGGCAGATGAAGTTGAGCCCATATTGGATGCTCTGCCTAATCTGGAACAGTAAGCTGCCTAATCTGTTTTTGAAATACCATAAAAACAGATTGTCATTGTTCAATTCATTAATGAGTGACAGAGTCAATTGAATTTTAAGAATAAATTTGATTATACTCTAAGAAAATCATCACAAAATTCTCTTTATTATATTACATTCAATATAGAAAGTCATATGTAACAGGGATCATTTTTGGAGTTCTTCCATTCTTGGCTCAACAAGATAGTTCTTGAATTCTACACAAAGCTATCAACTGTTATGCCATGCCCTTCATTTGCTTTGATATGTAGATATTGGAATTTGCCACCAATTATGTGGCTTAGACTTAGGTGTAGAGATTGAGATCAATGTGAAATAGAATTGGCTTTATTTCCAAAGTCAAAGAGGAATAATAGTCAATGGTAGCAAGGGTAAGATTAGGCAGACGACTGGTTTTTAATAAAATGATTATATTAAATATTTCGTTTAAAAATGAATTAATTCTGAAGCTCAAATGTTAAACATCATAGCTTCACAAAATTATAAAATTTAAATTGCATATCAAGAAAAAGTCTCTGGTAGTTTTTTGTACTATGCCTCTAATCTCCATTTTGTTTCTAATTTCCCCATTGTCAGGTTTATTTACTGTTCTTCCGCTGGTGTCTATCTTAAATCTGATCTATTACCTCATGCAGAGGTCAGTAACGTTTTAACACGCATATCTTCCTGTGATTTCAGAAATTTCTAGTGACGATGCAGTTTTTGGACCTGTAATCATTCATATCATTTAGTTTTTCTGAGTTATGCTGCCATTTTGTTAATTTATTTATTCACAAAGTATTTTCTATCTGTGTAGTTCTTTTGTTGCAATATCTTAATTAAAATTATATTTATCAGCAAGAATCCTGGGCTATGAGGAGTATGAATTGAGTCATTAAACATAATAGGAGTGTCTTATTTAAAGCTTTAGTTAGTTCCACTGAACGGAAGAGTGCATTCTTCAAACTTATTTTATCCACACAAATGTTTTTTATAAAAAATTTCTCAGTTTCCAACATAATTAATTTCACTTTTCTTTCAAATTCTTGCTTCCTGTGATAGACTGATGCAGTTGATCCTAAGAGTAGGCACAAGGGAAAGCTTGAGACAGAAAGTTTGCTACAATCAAAGGGTGTAAATTGGACTTCTATAAGGCCAGTGTATATCTATGGACCCTTGAACTATAACCCTGTTGAAGAGTGGTTCTTCCATAGATTGAAAGCTGGTCGCCCAATTCCTATCCCTAGCTCAGGATTACAAATAACTCAACTCGGTCATGTTAAGGTATGGAATTCGTGATGTTACTTTTCTTAGCTGATCATATTCATTTTGCTACCAGAGTTTTTTACCATGCCTACTATGTTCCATGTTGAAATTTGATTCACATTTCCTTACCAGCAGTGCCTTCTTTGGATTCCTTTGAAGTTTAAAATAAACGGTCTCCCATAAATGAAACTAACATGTTAGGTGTATCTTTAACAGCACGAGAGGTCTAACAACAACTATTAAAGATGGTCTCTAATACTATCTTTAAAAGTGGATTTATACTTAATCTGATATTTTATATTCCTAATAACAGGACAGTTTGAAAATTTATGATATTTTGCGATTTTGGCTGAAATATGGTTCAATTATGACAGGATTTGGCAATAGCTTTTGTTAAGGTTCTTGGTAATGATAAGGCCAGCAAGGAAGTATTCAACATCTCGGGAGAGAAATATGTCACATTTGATGGATTAGCAAGAGCATGTGCTAAGGTAAGCTATCCATGCCATGTAGCAAAGAAAAAATTCCTTCATAATGTCGAGCATTTACATTTGAGACATATTTTACTACCATAAATTCTGTTTGTTTTGGCATTTTTTTCAGGCTGGTGGATTCCCGGAGCCCGAGATCGTTCACTACAACCCTAAAGATTTTGATTTTGGGAAAAAGAAGTCATTTCCATTCCGTGACCAGGTGAAACAACAACACAAATCAGATAGAATGAGGAAAAAGTCTTTGAAACTTGTATAGTTCATTGAAAAATGACATCATTATACAGTCTAATGATATTTTGAAGTCATAATATTTGAAAGCTAAAACATAGTTGGGACATCCCTTGCCGACATAAAATTAACAAAAGAGAATGAAAGAATGAATAACATTGGTGTTTCATTTTGCTTGTTGTGCAGCATTTCTTTGCATCAATAGAGAAAGCAAAGAGAGTGCTTGGGTGGGAACCTGAATTTGACCTTGTAGAAGGTCTTGCAGACTCGTATAACCTGGACTTTGGTAGAGGAACATTCCGGAAAGAGGCTGATTTCTCAACTGATGACATTATTCTTGGCAAGAGTCTTGTTAGTGTATAAACTTTTCTATCAATTCTCAGTATTTCACGTATCTTAGAAAATCTGTTCGGATTGCTACAACATGAAATTGTGAAATATTCATGAGCCTTTAATTACTAATTTTGTCTTAATTTTATTATGCTAATGGAAAATGGATTAAAACAGGATAAACAGTGACCTGACTTGAGACTTACCAACCGCATTGACCTCGTATTTGAGTTGAAGTTTTGAGTGTTTCTTAAGGAACTCATAATTGCCATTGACATGTATGGTATACACATGAGCACCTGTAAGGTTTGTTGTTGAGATAAATATAATTTTCCTGCTATATTGGTCTTGTTAAACAAAAGAAAATGGTATCCCAAACTGTATTGAATCAAACTAACAGGAGAAAGAAAAATATGTTTTATGATTGAATAAATGCTTATTTATATAACTAAAATTTATCATAATTATATTTAAATCTATGTTGTAATTAAAACTCATAATATATATTTTAAACATATAAATGATATTTTAGATTTGTGATAAAAAAAAGATATATTATGATATAAAGTTAAACTTAACTGTTCATATTTTTTAAAACATATTGAAATTTAATTTAGAAGTAAATAAGAAAATAATATACACATATATAATCAAATCCTGTTTTAATAAAGTTATAGAAAATCAGTAAAATGAAAGATTTGGTTTACATAATAAAAAAATTTATTATATTTTAATGAATAAATCTTAACCTGAAAAAATAAGTTGGGATGAAATTTCGTTGAAGTATATAATTTGGAATATGGTGTTAATTAATGTTATGTTTATATAGTAATTATGGTTAAGAGTATCTTAAATGTAGTTGCTTAAAGTTAATAATGTTGTTTAGCAAAATTATTACTAAAACAAATTATTTGACATTCCTCATATAAGAACTGTTGCTTCAGAAAAAAAATTATTATTTTTTAAATATTTTTATAAACTAAGAAAGAATAATATATAAATTATCATTAATCTTATTTTAAATATAAGACTAATGAATTTAATAAAAGAATAATATATATTAATTATCATTAATCTTCACCCTAAACATAAAATTATAAATATAATGAAATAGACTAAAATTCACTAACGAATGCTACTTTTATATGAAAAAAAAATCCATATTCTTACCTCACACATCACGACCAAAGCAAAGTAATCATTTTTTAAAGAAAACCTTGATTTGATTTCCGAAAATCACTCCTATATTATGAAATGATACAAGTAGGACCAAAAAGTTCCTAGAAGGGAAATGAAAGAAGAAAATTACCTTATGCTCTGATTGTTTATTGGAGAAGATAAAAGAAATAAGAAAAAAAGATGAGAGTGATAAGACATAATAGAATATTCTGACACAAATACTTGTTAGTCAAATTTACATGCTTTCTTACCGGTCAATATGATGAACCCCCGAATATAGTTATTCCGTTGGTCCAACCTAAATAACCATACAATCTAAATCAGCAAGGGGAAAACCCAAAAAATTAGTAGACCTTTCATTTTTAACACAACCAAACCATTCAAATACCCAATGTTTTTAATGGTCGGTTGGGCGAAAAGTTCATCAACATTATCCACAAAAGAAATATAGAATAAATTAACCTTGTATTTCATTTCATTATCCTCAAATCTTGGTTAAGTGTACGATCATGACGTTATTATGTTTGAGCAGGTCATGCTTTTAGACCAACTAACCAAACCAGAAAAACGTCCATGCGCCGAACAATTGTTGGTCCAACGAGGTACACTAATCGCCACGTGGCGTACTAGGACACCTCTTCAACATGCTGCCGACACATATTCCACCGTAGATGAAGATGCTGGGTGCTAGACACGCAATGGATTTTGTGGACCCACTAAAAAAATGCGTAATTTAAATCATTTAACCAAAAAGGAAAATAACGTGGGGTAAAAGGAGTGCCACGTGGAATGAACGTTGACGTGGCAGCACCGAGACTTGGGGTGTGGACCCACTTCAACTAAGACGTTGTTGTTTATTAAGAAGAGTGGCTTCATAGAAAGCCACGTGTATTGTAACGGTCGACGTGGCTCACCGAGTGTGACTTTGGTGCGAGAAAAAGGGTTAATTACGTAGGGGTAGTGCGGCCCAGTCGGTGATGATATTTTATTTCTTGGGCGGTGGCAGTTAACCAGAAAAATATATAATACTATTCTATTTACACTTTACAAAATCTTGATAATAAAGTCTTCACTTAATCAATTGTTTCAAAAGTTAAAAAAAAAAAGAAGAGAAAATAATAACAAAATGAAATCGGTATCAGTCAGTTAATGATAACATTATCCACATATATTTTTTTTGGTGCAACGTGAGTTAGGCAACATTTTCACATTAATAACATGAAAAAATGCAAAAGGTGCAAGTAGGTTTTATTTGATGCTGATCAAATACTCATATAAACATTAAAGTGAACATAAGAAAATAAAATATGTAATAACGTCATCAACAATTTTATTATTTGTAGAATAAACCGTTTGTACATTAAATATGTTAGTGAAGTGACATTTTGTTAATAAGGTAGAACAATCTAAAAAACTGCACTTTGCTTTTGTTTGATGCAGTATACACCTTATAAGCATTATAAATGATAGAAAGTCCAAGTATTTTGTACGTTTTAGGTTGCTTGCTTAGAAAGTTAAATATTGAAAGCATAAAAAAAATAATTAAATTATAATAATAATGACAACAAAATTAAATTAATATACTGATTATAATATCGTTATCATATTATTCGTTGAACACAAATTTATAATCAGTATTTCTTTTTACATTTACATCAACAGCGTAAGAACCAATTAATATTTTTATGTCAACAGTATAAACAAATTTAAATTATTATTTATAATTTATGCTTTATATTGATGAGATAGTTAAACTAAATTTATGGAATATAAATAATCAAATATAGAAATATTTTTTGCATGATTGCCTGCGTAAAAAAAATTAAATCAGTAAACTTTTTCAGACCAGTTTGTATGTCCACTTAAACTTAATTTGTAATAATAATACAAAAAAAAATCTTATATTACCATAAAAAGATTTTGACCGGATCATTAAAATGAAAATATCAGAATGATCGTACAATTGAGTTGCAATATATGAAGATAATTGTCATGTTATTGTTGTGTTCTGACAATTGGGAATATATATCTTATGTATATCTCTAATCTCCTTATAACTATATTTGTATTTTATCTTCTTATATTACTAACATAGTAAGTTGCTCCTATATTTTTTATTATTTGAAAAATTAAAATTGATACAAAATTTTATAAATAATTTATAATTATATATATAATTCATTATTATAATTCTTTAAAATTGATGAATTTTAATAAAATATTTATATTATTTTTCACTTTTTTAAAATTTAAAATCACTATCATAGTCATTAATTTCTATGATAAAATAGATAAATAATATAAAATTTACATGTTTTATTTTTTTAAAATTAATATTATCTCACAGAATTAATAATTTTTAAAAAAATTAATAAATAATTTTAACGTTTTTATAAATATAACTATGTGTATTAATACAAAGACTAATAAAGACAATCAGTTTTAAGATGTTGATTTTGAATTACTATATATCATGAAGAGAAGAAGTTAATTGATTATAATTTAAAACATGAAAGAAGTTACCTTGAATAGTACTTATCTATTGTGTTATTTGTATAATATATTTTAGCCAATTCAATCTGGGATTAGATAGTGTTTATTGAGAACTAACTCCAACATTGAATAGATTCATTGGTAGAAAATGTTAAAGGTAGACTAAAAGTGATAATATAAATTAATTAAGTAAAAGTTTGATTATTCAACTAGAATCATTTGGCACCGTTGGATTCTGAGACCATCTCTCTAACCGTTGGATCAAACACTAGTAGAAATACCATTAAGAAGCCAAAACTTCTATATAAGTCACTCACCTCCATCCATTTCCCACACTGCAAAACAACTTCTCACAGTGGTCTTTTGCTTAGTAAACCAAATTCATAGCTTGTTCCTTAAGCTTAGAACTTTCTTTCTTCACTTTTCCTTTTTCTCTAACTGAGATCATGGCACCTAACATCACCACCGTCACTGTGAATGGCACCACTGAGCAGCCCAAAGGTCGCAGTGGACTTGCCTTTGTGACCTTCCTTGCAGGGAACGGTGATTACATTAAGGGTGTTGTGGGTTTGGCCAAAGGTTTGAGAAAGGTCAAAAGCATGTACCCTTTGGTGGTTGCTGTGTTGGCCGATGTTCCCCAAGAACACCGTGACATTCTGAAATCGCAAGGTTGCACTGTCAGGGAGATTGAACCTGTGTACCCGCCCGAGAATCAGACAGAGTTCGCCATGGCTTATTATGTCATCAATTACTCCAAATTACGTATTTGGGAGGTATATAGATATATAAGTTTTTTTTTCTAACTAATTAAGACACATTCAAGTGTGACTTTTTAGTTTATTAGTTTCACTTCTTATCAAGTTTGTGATTTTATGAAGTGAGTTATGTTCTTTATGGTTGCATGGGCTACACGTAGTACATATTGATATCCCTTAATTTGGAGGAGTTTCGGACTTTGTCACCTTTTCTATTTAGTTCATCATGTGTGGTCTGGTACATGGAACCCGTTCTATGATGTCCATCACTTTAAAAATAATATATTATATTTTATCAGCACTCAAGATTTGACGAAATATAGTTGTGTATAGTACATGTTTTCTTAACAGATGAAGTATATGTTTTTTTTTTTTTTTTAAGTAATACCTGTTTGTTATGAATGATAATTTTTTTTTTCTTATCTAAAAGTTAAAGGCCCAAACTTTTCTTCCTATATTATATTTGCTTCTTCTTATTCTTTTTCTCTTTGTATTCTTTCATGGTTCTGTATTTCTTGTTTTAAAAGTTATTTTGGGATTTCATTTGTATCCTTTTTCCTCTTCGTAATTTTTTTTATTTTATTTGCATCTTTTTTCCTCTGTATTATTTCATGTGTTTTGTATTTTTTTTAAAAGGTTATTTGAATTTTTTTTTTCAAAATATGTTCTTAAAAAATAATTATAGATGTTTCAAAAATTAATTTATGGAATCCAAGTTTGGAAGCATCAAAATTTGAAAATAGTGTTTGATGAGACTTCTGAAAATTAATTTCTGAAAGTATTAAAAGTTTTTAATATTCCAGAAACTATATGCGTCGGAAAGAGGTAAAAAAAATAAAAATCAATATGTTCAAGCTTTTCCAACACGTAATCAATAGCCTGTTCCTAACTTTAACACGATAGCAATAGCATGTTTTCATATAACCTTTCTCTAACATGTTATCTTACTGCTATCGTCAATACATTATTTCTCTTCTCTGTTATTATATATCACAACAAATAAAGACATGGACTAGTAATTTTGTGGCAGTCTAGGACCACTTTATCTTCATCACAATATAGAATGAGGTAACCTGCCATAAGAGAGTTTTACTTAGGATTACCAAAGTAATTAACTATTTGGTTTTCAGCATTTTAGAGAAGTGTGTGAAAATTTCGATACTTATATGAAATTTAATTTGATTAGTTCTAATTATGGAAGATTCTTACATGGGTCTGCTTGTGGTGATGGGAAATTTTGCAGTTTGTGGAGTACACCAAGATGATATATCTGGATGGTGACATCCAGGTTTTTGGAAACATTGATCACTTGTTTGATCTTCCTGATAACTATTTCTATGCTGTCATGGATTGTTTCTGCGAGAAGACTTGGAGCCACAGCCCTCAGTACCAGATTGGTTACTGCCAACAGTGCCCTAATAAGGTTGAATGGCCCTCTCACTTGGGTTCCAAACCTCCTCTATATTTCAACGCTGGCATGTTCGTGTATGAGCCTAATCTTGACACTTACCGTGATCTTCTTCAAACAGTTCAAATCACCAAGCCCACTTCTTTTGCTGAGCAGGTATATATATCCTAATAGTAGGACATGTTTTAGTTAAACAAACAAGTTAAAAGTGTGATTGAAAATTTGTTTCCATGTGTTGGCAGGACTTTCTGAACATGTACTTCAAGGACAAGTACAAACCTATACCAAACTTGTACAATCTTGTACTGGCCATGCTGTGGCGTCACCCCGAGAATGTTGAACTTCACAAAGTTCAAGTGGTTCATTACTGTGCTGATGTGAGTGTCCTGCTTCTAACTATACATACAGATCTATTAATTAGTTTGATTTTGGTTGGTAATGTTATTTTATTACACAATAGGGGTCTAAGCCTTGGAGATTCACTGGGAAGGAGAAGAACATGGAGAGAGAAGATATCAAGATGCTTGTGAAGAAGTGGTGGGAGATATATGAAGATGAGACTCTTGACTATGATCACAACAACCCTGTGAAACGTTTCACTTCAGCACTATTGGAGGCTGGTGGAGCTCCACTTGTGTCAGCATCTACTGCTGCATAATGTGCTTATTATTTACTGCTACAAATTAAAGCCTAATGCAAATTAAATGTATCTGTTGTTTGCTTTATATAGTTTTGGGTTTTATGAAGGGAACAACGTCTATGATTTAGTACTTTAGATGATGACCTTCGCCTGTAAAAAGCCATGTTACAGAACTTTTTATTATTATCTTTTGTTTTATTAAATTAAAATGTTTAAGGTGTGTTCACTTTTCTCTCTTTATTTTTCATAAAATAAAAATATACCTAAGAAATTGTGGATGGATTCTTAAATAAAATAAAAAAAATTACATGAGAGAAATAAAACTGGAAAAACTCTAGCTACTACCAATTCACCATTTCTTGCATTTCACACCAGCACTTACAATGAGAATTCATTCACGTATCAATAGTCTAATGAAGAAGGTTGGTTAGATCATTTCGTATGATTGCATCCATGAAAGAGAGTACTTTGCTTTTGTCTTGTGCTCATCTTCAGTTGTGTTAAAATATTTGATTTTGGGCTTTTAGAAGTTAGGGTGAAATGTTATTCATCACTTGAGGCTTTCTTTCTTAATTAACTACAACTTTTACCAAAAATAAGATTTTAACTTATACCTAATTAAAAATATAATGACAAAGTTTGTGTGCGAGAGAAAAAGTTTTAAATTGTTTATTTTTAATTTTAGATGGCGCCCGTTTGAATTATTTTATTAAATTCTTAAAAATATATTGTATTTAATAAAATTAATTTTTTTTACCAGTGTGTGATTTATAATATTTTTAGGACATCTCACTCCTATTAATAGGATTAGCGAAAAAAAATCACTTTACTAACGTTATTTTTCTTGTTAAAAAAAATTTAAAATTAGCCTAGTTATCACATTTATTTGAAGAAAAGATTTAATTAAATTTCTCTTCTTTTACTTTTGATTACTGTCTTTTTGAAGAAAACATTTAATGGAGTTTTTCTTTCTCTCTTTTACTATAAAAGTAGTTGTATTTTAAAATTATATACTAATTATATCAACTTAAAAACAACGAATTGAGTTAAATAAATTTTGAAAGTAACATCATTGTAGGATTAAAATAAAATCACGATATAATAATTCTGAGAGGTACGAAAGAGACAACTGATTCCGGCTAAATATATAAATAAAAATGAAAGTTTGGAACTGCAAATTGGACATCACATTCTAATGTGACACAAGATTACACAAACGTCAGATTTCAGAACAACTAGGAAAACAAAAATAAAATAAAAAGAAATAACTGAAACTTCTCAGTCCTTAGTCACTACCATCTAACTATCTCACTCACTCACTCTGCCTCTTCATCTTTCTCATATTCAAGTACTGATACGATTACCATTGGATGACAGATAGGATTGCATTTCCATGTCATTCTTAGGATCCTTCATTGCTTCCTTATCTGCCTCTTTAATGCTGTCTTTCGTGCTCACCTCTTCACTCTTTCCCCAAAGGACAGAATAGAGCCCCAAAACTATCAAGAGAGATCCTATGGCACTAAACCAAATAAAAGTGTAAGGCAAAGTTAGTCATTACTTTGGTCAAAGTCAGCATATATATATATATATGGAACACATGTATACAGTTTATTTAGTTATGAATAAGTTGGTGAAAAATAAAGTGCATGTGATTTCTTACGTTCCAACGTATAATTTCTCACGAAGCAAAGCCCAGCTTAAAATGGCAGTGAGGACAAGCTGCAAAGGGGTAAATACAGAGACATAAAGAGGACCTTTTCTCTCAATGGCCCACGACATGAGGCTATACGCTAACCCAGTGCACACTATTCCCTGCAACCAACGTTATAATTACTTGTAGTAATGTACATTCATGTAGAAACTTGCATAATGAATTAAACTAAAGAAGGGTAGATGTATGTGTATGTACCGCGTAAAGAGCAGAGGAAAGTCTCATGGTATCGTGGAGTAACCAAGCTGAGGCACTGTGGTCGAAACACAGTGCAATGATGCAACACTGAAAGCTTGCGAAGAAACACATTAAGCCTGTGCTTGTGTAAGGAGCTGAGAACTTCTTGCTTATGTCTGTCTGAAATACCAAAATGAACAAGTATAAAGTAGCATGTTGGTTGAGTTATGTAAGTTGTACTAAAGAGAAAAACTAGTTCGTTAGGATCATATTGATGCTTACTTGAATTACGAACCACAGTGCCCAAACAAGGGTGCTACCAATTAAGAGTAAAGGGCCTAGAAACATGTTTCCTGAGCCAGAAGAGGTAGTTCCTTCCATTTTCTCTGCATATCTCCAGTGAATACTGGATTGGCCTAAACCAATGGTTTTTCCATGGTAAAATGACAAAAGCAAGGCTCCACTCACACACATTACTGTCCCGAAGACCTTTGCTAGGCCAGACCTCTTCTTGATTCCTAGATCTTCTTGTCTACCCCCACAACAAAACAAAATATGATTAAAACATCAAATAACAACAAAATGACCACATTAAAAGATATTTGGTCCAACCTGAAGATAACTGCCAGGATAAAAGTGAACGCTGGGAGCAAATTGGTGAGTGCACATGCAATAGTAGCCGTTGAAAATTTTAGCCCCACAAAAAATAGAATCTGATTTCCTGTAACTCTGCATTCAAATTCAGGTGGTTCATGATCAGGAAAACGAGATCTGAATTCTCTAAAAACGATTGTAAATTTTATTTTCATTTAATGACTTGTATTAAAAACTTCAAAAGTATGGCTTTTTAAATAAAAATAGATAAAATAGTGTATGGATGGAGAGTTGCTTACTGAAATATGTAAATAAATTATTAAATCATTTTTAAAAGGAGTTGTTATTAAATTTCATGACTAAATTGTTTAAAATTAAAAGAAAATTATTTGAATAAATAACTTTAAAGTAACTTAACTGCAAAATTTATAATAAAATATTTAATTTTATTTTTAAGTAATTCTTATTAAAAAATCTTTTTAAAAATATTGATGTATTTGAAGTCATTTTTCATTGAAAAAAAATTCAATGTAATAAGATAAATGTTTAAATTTGTTTGACAATTTTCTTTTTATATAATTTATAAAAATAAGTAAATCAAAATAAATAAGAAAAAAAATAAGGAAAAAAAATAAGAGAATGAATTTTTTTAAAATTTATTATGAAAACTTTAAATAAAATAAAGAATCGATTTAAAAATGATGTGTGATCATTATTTTTTTACATTTTCCAAAATGTAGGGTTGGAGATGCAATCTCTCTACTTTTCATCTTATTCCAACTCTTTAAAAGAGATATTTAACTTAAAAGAACGACAACCCATTTATAATAATATAATAATTTGTGAAGGACTGTTTTTGAAAATTGGATTGTTAAAATATTATTTTTGAAATGTTATACTTAAACTACCGTTTGACCGGAATTTCATTCTTTTCCAATATGGTCTTAGTAGATTGAAGGGTTAATTTACTTTTGAAACATTCAGTTATATTTGACTTTATGATTTTCTTAAAAGTATTTCACTTTGCTAGTAAAAAAAGAAGAAAACAGCAGGGTAATAATGAAATAAATAAAATATATTACCCTGTCAAGGAAGATAATAATATCCGAAACATAAGATGCTTTGTCAACCTGGGAAGTGTCTTCCTGAGAAAAGAAGAGAGAGGAAATTGAAGTTAACTTCTTAAAACGTTATAAAGGAACACAAATTCATGCATGCATGATGCATTTACTGATGAGGGTAAACTTGGAACCGTAAATACAGTTCATTTCAGCCAGAAGAATCTGACAATTTCCACCGATCAAGATTTCTCGTAACAGTACGAGACAAACATAAATGACTCTCTTTTGTCTTCACCAAACAAAAGAAAAACTCAAGTGAACGCCATATTTAAGTCACGGGTTCCTACTACAACTCTATGGCACTGAACATTTTCAGAAACTCCTTGCAACGTGTAATACTACTACTCGTTTCAATGGTTAAAGTTGCTGGCACGTAACATGCGGAGAGGCTCACAACGCGACCTACATGCATGCGGAGAGACTCCAAACGCGTCCTACCTGCATGCTTTTTAGCATATTTTTCTGGGTATCTACGTTCACTTGAATGAACTTTTCATATTTAGTGCAAATTTTTCGGGAAAAAAAGTGCTATAAAAATTAATATAAAATAAGTAAAATTTCATTGTGATATTGTAAAATCTCGAAAAAAATAATAATAAATAGTAGTCGGAGACAAAGAGTAAAACAGTGCTTGAATCAAGCTTGGAGTTTCCCCATTAACTGAGCGATTATAGTTGTTGTCACGTTGATAACATTTTTGTTAATTATCTTCTCCCCCTTTTAATGCATGTTCTTTGTTTTTAGTTTCCCAGCAAGGCAAGCAGCATCATTAATGAATATTTGTACATTTTCCAGTTTCATAACCGTTTCAAAACATTTGAGTTTGTGGAGTCCAATGGAGCTAATAATCAAATAGAACATCTACTTTTTGTTTATTTAAGAAAATTGCTGAATATCCGTTATCTTGATCATTATTTTTGCGTGATAAAAGGAAAAACCTTTACTTAATCTGGCACTTTTCTTTCCACACTGTCCCTCTACCCCATGTATACAACAACATATACAAAGATACAAATATAGGTGGAGAAATAGCACAATCAACTGAAACATAAGGGATCGCCAGTGACACTCTCTCTGTCAGAAACATTACAGTACTTTAAAACAAACTTTTTCATGAATGCATGGTGTATATAAAGTAAACAAAACCAGAAAGTTGAGGGTAAATAGATAATATTACCATTCGAGCCAATATGCAAAGGGAGCAATGGACAGAGTAGCAAAGAGTTGACGATATGCAACAAGGACAAGAGGGTTCATCCCAGATTCTAATGCGAGCTTTGATATAATATTCATCACTGCATAGACTAACTGCACAGCAATCATTAAGATGAGGGGCGCGAGACTGCTAGCCATGTTTCTCTCTTTCACTCTCTTCCTTTGAACTTTGGAGAGAGTGTGTTACATGGAAAGGGGTAATGTGTCTGTGAATGAGATGCGCGAGAGATTATACGCGTATATATAGAGAAGAGCTTGGACAACTTGCGTGAAGTAAGAGTTAAAGAAACGGGTGGCACCTACAACAGTTGCTACTACTAAATTACTTTTTTACAGAAAAGAACAGTTTCATCGATTTTCCTTGCAGCACTTTAGGCTTTTGCGTGGCGTTTGGTAGCTTTCAATGCATTCAGAGTGCTGAAGCCCTAATTGTTGGTTATATGCATTAGCATGTCAACAAAAGCAATAAATGGAGAGGGACCCATCACACTACTCCTTGTAGGGCCAGCCCTTCACACCCTTACCCCAGGCTTGTTCCACGTTGGCAACGACAGATTGCATGCAGCTAGCTTCGTGCTTCTCTCTTCCTTCAATTGAGCAGCGTTTCAAAATATGCATAAAATAGAGAGAGTGAGGGAAGTTTCACTTTCAGGTACCCTTTTCAAGGCAAATTTAGTCACAATTTATGGTCACATTTACTTTCTCTTTGCCTTGGGAAATGTATGTGGAGTAAATTTCTGCTGCTTACAGTTAAGACTACTGTGCAGGTCTCTTTTATTCATATGGCCAAATGCAAGACCCAATTAAGGGATGGCTCTGAAGTTAAACTCGGCAAATTTTCAAAATACAAGTTTTTTCTACATTTTACTCCACCCCTACTATATCATCATCTTCTTCACCTTCACTAGTTTCCCTCACGAGAAGTTTGTTTCTAATTTTGAGTAAACTTTTATTATAATGCTATCTTAATACAATTATATATAGAGATTGCTTAACCATCTATATGTCAAACTTTTCTATATATATAGTTAGGAGTCATCGTCTACACTTTCTCGTCGCATCCAATTTGTCCCTATACATTTAGGTGGCGAAAAGAGAGAGTGTTATCAAAGAGAATGTTAAGTGATCTTTTGATTGGAACACTGATTAAGAAAGAAGTATAACGTTTTCTAATAAGATGTAGCTACTTTTTTTTTAATTAAAGCTGGGGAGGATGAAACATCATTCTGAAAACTAGATACTCAAATTAAATTATCTAACATTTTTTTATTAAAAGATAAAATACAAGATTAAACACATTGTTTACAAACGAAAAATGCATTTAATGATTACTATTTAAATAAGTAAAAACATTGTAATAATATGTTAAGCGTAACGGTTAACAAAACCCAGTTGTCAATATATTTGTGTTTTTTTTTCTTATTCATATGAATATGTCATATATTCATTTATTGCGGCATTAATCTGGGATCTTAAATCGCACGTAAGGTTATATACTTCAGCTTAGGATTCAAACAAGTGTCGGGTTTTATTTTCAGGAAAAGAAATGCAGGCAGAGAATAACGATAGTGAGAAACAAAACCAACACGCATAGGTAGAGTACAGGAGATGATAAAAACAAAATATTACTAATATATTATAAGTATTATTTTTTCATTTGGACATGTAATTCCCTTTTAAAATGTAGAGATAGTTTTTGTTTATTCAACAGTGGTTTTATTTGTATCTTAATCAATAAAAATTATGTTTTATTTTAAATGACGACAATAAGTTTCGTCTAACTTACTCAAAAAACTTCATCAAATGGCCATAGTGAATTTTTAAACATAAATATAAATTACATTTGGATTTATTTTGTCATTATTACTTATAAAATAAAAAATTGTAATAATTAACTCCTCCCGTAAGCTATAATTTAAGCCTTCAAAAACCAGTTTTAACTTACATCAACTATAATTTTAGTTTATGAAAAAAAATCATTTTTTCTTCTTAATTTTATTTTTATATGTTTTATATGTGAAAAATTATTTGAACAACCTTAATCAAAAGGATTTGTATTACATCATTTAAAAAAAATGAGTAAAAAATGTAAATAGATATAATTCTCTTGTCATATAAAAATAAAAGATTTAAAAGTAAATTATAGTACAAAAAAATTAAAGGATAAATATTTTCTCTGTTTTAAGTTTTGCTGAGAAAAAATTATTTTTAAAATATACGCGGTTTAAAAAGTTTAACATTATATTAACTATTACTTTATTAATTATATCATTATTTTTTAATTATATTTATTGGATAAAAAAATAACAAATAATTATGGAAAAGAGAATATTGTAATAATAAGGATATTAATGAAAAAGACTAATAAATTTTTTTAGAATAATAAAAATTAATATTTATCTGTATTACAATCTTAATACTTACATATTTTAAAAAAAGAAGTAATTAATATTTGAAATGAAAAGAAGAAATAATCATTATTTGAAATGAAAAATATTAATAGAATATTTAAAGAGTTGTTAGTAAAAATTGTTTAAGAATAAAATAAATATTTTATTATTAATCTCACGTAATTTTGGTCAGAATTATTTATATAAATAATTTATTTATTTTTTATTTTAAATAACTTTTTTTAAATGTTAAAATTTATAATAATTATTTTATTTTATTTTTAAATAATTCTTGTGTAACAACTTTACAAGTTAAACTTTAATCTTTGAAAGTTTTAAAAATATAAAATTCATAATAGTGAGAGATTGTATTGTGGAATAATTAGAAGAACATCCATTAATGCTTTTAAATTATTGTTTAATGCTATGGAACCATTTATGGATTTTGATTAATTACTTAATTGGACCTTATTAAAACGTCTAGAAATAATAATAATAATAAATAACATAAAAAATGAAATACGTTTCATTCAAAATAAACGTTTCTAAAAATATATTGATATTTGACTTGTAATGGATAGCTTAATATAAGGACAAAGAAGAAAGAATAATAAATAATACCAAATGGATATAGTTTCATTTTTAAATAAACCTTTTCTAATAATATATTGATATTTGATTTTGTGATCAATAGTTCAATAAGAGACGAAACAATAAAATAAATATAGAAACCTAGTGGGATGATCCTATTGATAGGAGATGTTGAGTATCATGCATGATGCATTGGGTTCATTATAAAAAAAAAAAAAAAAAAAATAATAACCATCCAAACATGTTTCCAAAATAAAATTGATTTATGAAGTGTCACGATACATCACAATTTATTAAACTTTTCTAAAATTCATACCCACTTCTCCATGATTATTTGATTTGAACCTGGCCAGAAACCTAACACTGGGAAAATAACTCATCTTTAAAAGAAGCCAATTTTTATGATGAGTTTATGTGACTTAATTAGGACCATTCTATAGCCAGATTGTGGATACGCCTCATGAGACACTTTTCCGGTAAAGGTCACAATTGGTAAAAAGAAGACAACATAGTTACTTTAATATCACTAAAACAATGTGACCTGAATTAATGGTTCATTAACAATCATACTAAAAAAAAATGTAATCCAATAATCAATCATTTAGTTGTATTACTTATTTTCTTACCATAACATTGTGTATGTTTATTTTATTTTGACATATTATAAGATATTAATTATTTTAAAAACTAAATTAATATAGAGAAAATGAGGAATTTACTTATTCAAGGATATGTTACGGGAAACGTGAATAGCAGAAAACATTTATAAGAAAATAAATAAAATAAAGTATTTTACTAGTTTAATAATAATAATGAAAATGATAAATAAATATGATATTTTTCACTGTAATATATGTTTTATTTTTCATTCATGTATGCGTGGAAAAATATCAAGAGTCTAAGGTTTTTTCGATAAAAAAATTGAGAAAAGAAAAAAAATATTCAAATAAAATAAAAATTATATTTGTTCCTGTGAGATAAAAGTAATATGAAACAAAAAATATTTATTTTAAAATAATTCATTAAATTAAATATTTTCAAATTATAAAATTATCATACAATTATAATTTACTTATATATATATTGATTTTTAAATTATATTATTTTAATAATATCATAAATATAAAAATGATTACAAAATAAATAAATAATATAATATAATTATATTTTTTTAATGTGACCTTATTTTATTAATTTTATTTTGAATATTTTTAGAAAAAAATGTAATTTTATAACAAAATATCAAATATATGTTATCGAAAACAAATAAAATATTAATTTAAAGATGTTAATTAATAAAGTTGTTTCGTTGTTATAAAAAAATCACTTAATAATTATGTAAATAGATTTTATAATTAAAAAATATTTAATGAATTAATTAATTTGTAATGAATATTTTTCTTGTTTTATGTTATTTTTTTATTAAATTAATTAATATATATATTTGAATCTATTTTGTTCTTATTTTTAAATAGGATAAAAGTTAATGACTTATTATTTATCTTACCAATATTTTATATAATATAATATTATAATAATAACTCATTTTAATTATTAAATTATAAAAAATAAATCATAAAAATAAAGAATAAGTCTCACAATTATTTGGGATCCGTTCATATATATATATATATATATATATATATATATATATATATATATATATATATATATATATATATATATATATATATATATATATATATATATATATCCTTTCCATTTCAATGCAATATGCGAAGAAGAAGGAGTCCGTCATATAATTTTCATCTCAAACAAAAGTTAAAAAAAATGTTATTTCTTCTTATTATTTTTGTTTTAATTTTTACACAATTTTTTTTTAAAAAGACTAAAAAAAGATAATAATAGTGCAAAGGATCACGTGAAATAAAATATTACTTACTTTTGTTAAAAAAACGTGACCCACAAAAATTGGGGAATAAATCCTCTTGTGATTTTCCCTTCATGGAATAACTTTATGAAAATTCCAATTAAAGATTCTGTACCAACTTCGATAAATTTTGAATTTAGTTTTTATGAGTACCTTTTTACTCCTAATATGAAAACATTCAAACAAAACTCTATTTCCTTTATTGCGAAAATAATCAAAACACGGTATCTATAAGGAAGCTAGGAAAGCGAGTCTTCAACAAAACGTCATAAGTAAGGTGATTTGAGAAATATAACGTCTTGTGTTTTTAGTTTTAAACAAAATATTTTTAAACTGAAAAATATGAGGAAGAGTTTGGCACCAAGCGCTAGCCACTTAGCTAAAAGCTTAAGCTAGTAGTAAGGGTTCACACTTTAGCACTTAGCCCCTGGTCCCACCACGCTTCCGCGACTCTGATTCCCCCGCTCTTCGGGAATCTCGAGGGACTTACCACACGCTGCTCCAATTCGTCCTCGGCGAGAATCGAGCACGCGGCCTCGCTCGATACCAAGAGTTTGGCACCAGGGGCTAAGTGCTAAAGTGTGAACCCTTACTACTAGCTTAAGCTTTTAGCAAAGTGGCTAGCGCTTGGTGCCAAACTCTTGGTATCGAGAGCGAGGCCGCGTGCTCGATTCTGCCGAGGACGGAATTGGGGCGCGTGTGGTAAGTCCCTCGAGATTCCCGAAGAGCGGGGAATCGAGTCGCGAAGCGTGGTGGGACCAGGGGCTAAGTGCTAAAGTGTGAACCCTTACTACTAGCTTAAGCTTTTAGCAAAGTGGCTAGCGCTTGGTGCCAAACTCTTGGTATCAGAGCGAGGCCGCGTGCTCGATTCCTGCCGAGGACGGAATTGGGGCAGCGTGTGGTAAGTCCCCTCGAGATTCCCGAAGAGCGGGGGAATCAGAGTCGCGGAAGCGTGGTGGGACCAGGGGCTAAGTGCTAAAGTGTGAACCCTTACTACTAGCTTAAGCTTTTAGCTAAGTGGCTAGCGCTTGGTGCCAAACTCTTGGTATCAGAGCGAGGCCGCGTGCTCGATTCCTGCCGAGGACGGAATTGGGGCAGCGTGTGGTAAGTCCCCTCGAGATTCCCGAAGAGCGGGGGAATCAGAGTCGCGGAAGCGTGGTGGGACCAGGGGCTAAGTGCTAAAGTGTGAACCCTTACTACTAGCTTAAGCTTTTAGCAAAGTGGCTAGCGCTTGGCGCCAAACTCTATCCACAAATTGTACATGCCAGTTAAAGTTTGTCATCCGAAGGGCACAAATTGATTTGTCCACCTTCAAAAACCAACTATACCGAGAGCTTCTGATAAGCCCTCAACTCCTGTTAGAAGCCGGATGTCTCCAAGATATTAGCATCCCTCCTACAGAAAGATTTCATTCATTAACCCCAGAAATAAACTCTGTGGTAAATGAAATACAAGCCGAGCATATGATGAGTGTGCTCTTAAAAATTACTTCTTCCCCAAGAAGTCCCAATTCTCTTGACAGCATGGCAAAACATGTTGTTAAGCTGTACACAGAGGTCAATCCTGAGATGCGTACCTCAATAGAGCAAGATCCTTTTCAGGGACTTACTCTAAACAAATATAAGCTTTACCAATATCAGCTTTGGAAAGCTTACGTAGAAGGATCTAACTGGAATTTCTCTAAAAAGGATATTTCAGATTTTATTCTTCTCAAAGAAACTGCTGATACCAAGCTTTATTGGAAACAGCTTATGGGAAACAAGTTTCATCCTTTCCCAATTGAAGCCAGTCCCATTCTGGTAGAACACTTCAGACGAGAAAGGATTCTCAAAGAAATTTATGAAGAAACCGGAGTCCATGGACAAGGAACCCCCGGAGCTTCATTTCCCTCTGATGATGAGGACTTAAACTTCATTGACCAGATGGTTGAAGAAGGACTTGATGATATGTCTTCCGTGTCAGTTTCCAGAAGACATTCATAAAATTTCAAAAGGCAGGAACTGTACAAATCCCGCCTCTCCACAACCAATGAGTCTTTATGATAAAGACGAATTTACCCTTGAAGATTTCGAGGAACTCCTAATGACGTAATCTCCCACGTCATTAGCCCCACAAAGACTAGTTTGCCCTTGAAGGTTTCGAGGTGCTTCTCATGACGTAATTCCTTACGTCATACACGGCTGTATCAAAAGACGATAAGGTTAATGGCAGATAATGATATCTTGCTACCTTATCACGATTCCTCTTCCGTTACATGTTGTTAGGCCCATTAAGCCTTGCATGTTAATGACGGTAAGATTGAATCAGTCTTTTGATAAAATGTAAAAAAAAAAAAAAAAAAAAAAAAAATTTGCTTGGGCCCACTAGGCCCATTACTATTCACTTTACTATTTTTGTTTCTTAGTGAAGAAGTTTCCTCCGTAGGATTTCTTCTTTGTTAAGTTTTGAGACCCATAAGTCATGAGTGGGTCCCACATGTAAATTACTATTCATTATTTTAATATTTTCCATTTTCTATATAAGGTTCCATAAGTCCCTTATGCTGGGCAAGAACCTCCCCCCCTCTCTCTAGACAAGTCTCTCCTCCTTCTCTCTACTTCTCCCCCGCTTATGTAAATTTCTTATTATCAATAAGAGAAGTTATTCAGCATCTCCCCTCTCCTTCTCCTTCTCTTCCCCCCAAGTAAGTGCTCTCTGCTCCCCCTTATGGAGTAGTTTTCTTATAAGGGCGTCCTCGGATGCCTTAAGCTTTATTTATTTAAAGATGCGATAATCATTTAAAGGCTTAAATAATTTTGTTTGTACAGACTTTAATTTTGTTCATATAAGCTTATGAGGAGATGTCTAACCGGCTCGCTGCATTCGGCCATCTCATAATCTTATCATGGACTTTGTGTGTTTATTTTCCCTGTCTTTACTTTTTTGCATTTAATTTCGTTCATGTATAAGCTTATGTGGAGATGTCTAACCGGCTATGCCAGATTCATCCATCTCATAATCTTATAAGTGAACACTTTTCTTGCTATAACCGACTTTATCTCGGACAGTCTTCATTTTAGCTAGCCCGTTTCGGGTTCTCTCGGTAGCTAAGTAGCCACGTTGACCGACGTAAGAGATAAAGAGTTATAACATGTTTTAATTTATTTTGTTTTCCTGTCTCTTTACTTTCCTCCTTTCCATTCCCCTTCGGTCTCAGGGCGCTTTATTCTGGGTTCATTCCCGGTTTTCTCTGTTCTGTCCACCCTCCGGTATCTGAGCAGTGTTTTCCCCTCACCGGGTTTTCCTGCTTTCTCTGTACCTCTTTATTTTTGGGGTATCAGTCAGTTATCTGGCGGTTCAAACCCCAGATTTCCTGTTTTGAGTTTCACCCCTCTTTCCCCTCTCTTGGTATCAGAGCAAGGACTTTCCTTGGTTACCTTGAATATGATTTTTTGCAATTGAACTGGTTTGTGTTTTCTGGGATACCCAGCCAGTATCTGGATATTTTTGCAATTGAACTGGTTTGTGTTCGCTAGGATACCCAGCCAGTAGTAGGGCAGGTTGAGGCCAGGGAGTGCCATGTGACCCTAAGTCCCGCGTAGCTAC